CTGTGAGGAGAAACTCACCTTTAGGCACCTCGCAAGGGCACTGGGGAGCGGACTGCTCGTGCTAGGGGCAGTGCCCCGAGAGGGCCCCATCCCCGGGGCACCCAGTAACAGGAGCAGGAGCAGAAATAGGAGCAGGAATAGGAGCAGGAGCAGGAATATGAACAGGAACAGGAGCAGCAGCAGGCTCCCTGCTCCCTCTGGCGGGGCGCTGGGGGCCCACCAGCGGCTGACACGCCGCATTTTGTCTGCGAGCCACAGCCCGTGCGGTTTTTAACCAAACAACTCCACGTCAGCAAAAAAAAATAAATAAAAATAAAAAGGAGAACCGTCCCTCCACCCCCCCACACCCTCCCCGTCCGGGGCTTCCTGAGCGCGGCCGATGAGGAGAGCCCCGGGGAGGCGCTGCCGGGCCGGGCCCTGCGCTGGGCCCGGGGAGGCCCGGCCCTGCCCGCCCGGTGCCGCGGCGGCGGGACCCCCTCACTGGGGGGTGAGGATGGAGGCGAGGAGTGCCCGGAGCCCCCCGGCACCCCCCTCGACTCACGCTTGTACTCGGCCATCAGCCGCTTCAGCGCCGTGCCCGCCATGGCTCCGCCTCTGTGGTGCGGGCAGGGCCCTCCCCGCCGCGCCGGGCAGGCGCAGAGCGAGCGCGGCCCCGGCTGAGGCGAGCGCCATGAGGGGAACGGGAGGGGGGCGGCGGGGACACGGGCAGGGGGCTGCGGGGAGCCCTCTGAGGGGGGTTAGGTTTTGGCAGCGCTGTGGGGATGCAAAGCTCGGTGTGTGCTCGCCTGCCGGGTTCCTGGTAGCTCCTCATGCACAGTGCGGTGGGATTAGGCTGCCCTCCCCGCTTACACGCCAAGTTTCTCCACCAAAAAACAAGCCCACAGCTCTGCAGGACACACAGAGACACAAAGACACAGCTTCCAGAGACGTACAAACTGGAGAGAGGTTACGAATTCTGTCATTTAGCAGACGGATGAGGTTGTGAGAGGCTCCTCTTCATAAACCTGCACAACAAAACACCCCGCAGCTCTGTCACCGGCTTTACTTTGGGACCAGCTGCCCTGGTGACTCCATTTCTGACAATAATTCATGACGATTCTCACGACTGCATTAAAAAAAAAGTATATTTTCAGGCAACTTTTATCAAATCATGGCAACGCACATGTAAATCTGGAATATTTCAAACTGACTCTATACTAAGCATCGGATCTGCACGTACAGACCTCGTGTCATAGGCTTAACATCTCTGAAGTAACTGTTTGCAACACACTAAAAACTTTAAATCAGCATCTCTTCTTCCTTCTCTTAGGCATATTATAAAAGGAAACTTTTAAGCTCTCGATTAGCAAGAAAATATACTGAATTATTTACAAGATTAGAATTAAACAGAGGGGCAAGACCGACAACAGCCAGGAATGAACAGTCCATGTCCTAAAACATGGATGAATATTTAGGCCACAGGTTTAAAGAAAAAAAAAAGTTAACAGCAGATAGACAACGTATATTACTTAAAATGAACTTAAATCAAATTGGCCCAATTGAAGATATAGATTAATCCCTGCAGATACTGTTTTGACTTGCACACGCAGTACGTCAAAGACAACAAGCAATTTTGGTAAATGTCCTCTAAAGTTTAGAAGAATCCTGTGTGATTGGCATGTTCATTTGTTTACTATTTAATAGCAAATCCAAAACCAGATGAGAGTGAGGTGCGATGAGGATCCTTAAACTCCTCTTCTCAGAAGGATGGCATGTCTTAACACACTCCACCTGTCTGCTGCTGGAACACATCGATAGTGTCTTCATCTTCCATCTCCAGCTGTTAATCAGAAAACACAGGACTTGAAATTCACAACCACAAAGGCACAAAAGCACTCAGATCTCTGCCCCGACCAGTACCAAGAATTGAGCGTTTAAGGTGCAACCTTAACGCTGTGTCAACCCCCTTCCAGCAGTCTCTCCAGGCAGCGTCACCCTTGCAGGACTGCCCAAAGTGTCTCAGACAGCAGCAGGCAGAGCCCACTTCAGGAACTCTGCCACCTCTAGCCGTGGCACCGCCAATGCCAGAACAGGCTCTGGAGCCACGCCTGCCTCTGAGGCCATGCTCAGACGTTTACTGTCTTCTACAAGAAATCACCTCAGCCAAGCGTTTCTTCTATTCCTCACCTCAGGCTTTCTCGATACAAGAAGCTCCCCAAATTCTCAGCATTACCGGAGCTGACAGCAGCATGGCATTTAGCTTCAGTCCCGGCTCTCCTCAGGCCAAAGCAGAAGCGGGACAGAGCTGAAAACTCCAGCACCTTCCTGGGTTGCTGCCCACAGCAGCACTCGGCACCGGCTTGCTCAGCGCCAGTGCTCAGACATCTTCTGCCCCCGACACCCATGACAGAACTCAAGGGGACAGGAATCCCACTCTAGACAAATTATTTTGAGTGAGCTGGACTTGAATTATTTGAGAATCATCCTGATTCCAAGCCCCTTTGACCTGCATGCAACCAATAAAGTATTTGATAGCAATTTGCAGTACAAGTGTTTTTCGTACCTGTGCAGGTGTGTCTGCTTCATTGATCGGTTGTCCGTCAAATCGGAATCTAATCTGCCTCATTGACAAACCCTGCAAGTTCAGAGTAGTTAGCGTGAGAAACCTCACTTTGGCTTTTGAATCCAAATAAAGCATTTAGGGATTTACTATCAGAAGAGATATTAACAAAGGTAAGGCTGAAATGAATAGGAAACTTAATGCATCTGTTGTGCTGCGTGAACTGAGGAAGCAGAACTGTTGGGCAGCCGCTGTCACAGCAAGGACTTGATACAGAGCCACAGGTACTGTTCTGGCACCCGGTTCTGACCCAGCCTGCAGTCCTGCTCTGCAAAGAACAAATACCAGAAGGCAGCAGAGAACAAGAAAGTAATGTTTAACTTCAAGAAGAGCTGAAAGAATGAAGTGGAAAGCCAAGAGAAAAAGTATCATCCAGAGGTGATATCAAAGTTGCAAAGAGATCAACCAGCGAACTGTTCTAGATAGCCTCGTAGCACATGGCAGAGAAGAGTGCCAATTGTTTTTCATGCAGGGAAGTAAGAGTATTTGCAGTTCACTCAAAAGAAAACACTTCCAAAAAACCTAGAAAGGCTACCTCTTGGTGCAATTGCCTGATGGCACTGACTGCCCATACTTAGGACAAGTTTTTGACATGTTCACTCCCAGGTCTAGTCCCTTATCTTCTGACGAAAAGAGGAACTGTGAAGCATTTAAGGAAAAAAGAACTCACAGACCACCATGAAGATTTTTACTTGCGTGCTTTGTTAGTTTTACATGCTAGGGCTCTTAACGCGAGACTTTTACAGTTATTAAGTCTTGCTTTTAAAGCCTAAGCTGAGTTCACAACTGAATTCAGTTTCTAATTGTGTGATGCAGCCTTCACTCCCTGCCTCAGTGAGCTAGGTCTTTGCTTTGCCCTGTAAAACTCTTGAAAACATCTGCTGTCCAGCCTGCCAGTCCTTACCTAGAGCCACACAAGCACAAAAGCTCTCCGTGCATCTCTGAGGACCCCTTGCATTTAGCTCACTCCCAGCCTGAGAAGACATACGCTGCATCAGGCACAGGACGGGGTGCAACGTAAGCCTTGAGGAATCAAAGAAAGAGCATCACGTGTGACAGGAGAGGAGAGATGCCTGCAAACTGAAATTCACTCGACTTTGGAAAGCCACTTGCACCCCTGCTCTCTGTTCCCTGCAGCACCTGATCCGGTGCAGGCGCACACGTGCTCTGAGCATGGATAAAGCTCTCTCCAGGTGAGCTACAGGCAGCACCATGGGACAGGCAGCCTCCTGCACAGAGCAGCCTGCAGCCACCTGCAGAACGTCCCAGCAGGAAGGGAAAAGGACACGTGAGAAGAGGAGGAGGAAAAAAAGATGGTGAAAGAAGCGGTGGCACGGGACAACCTGTTTTCATGCACGCTTCCGAAGGGAAAGCACGCCCTGCATGGCCAAAATCTTAGGTGTGATAACAGCGAGGGCTGCACGGCTACAAACTGAGACCGAGCTAGCATCCGAGCCGGGATCGGAACCAAAGAGGCGTGGGAAACGACTTCACGGGGGACTTTTGGATATCGTGGGGGATTTTTGGATATCACGGGGGATTTTCAGAGCCGTGGGAGCGCCGGGCGAGGAAGGGGCACTGCTCACCCACTGCACACCCCCAAGCCCAGCCCCAGCCCCCCGCCACGAGCGGGCCGGACCCCCCCGGGACCGAGTCCTTCAGGGCCCGGGGCCCGTTCCCGGCGGGGCTGTGCCCGTACCTGCCTCTCGCAGTACGCCTTCATCAGCTTGCTGAGCGGCGTGTGCCTCTTGATCTTGAACTGCACCACGGAGCCGTCCTGCCCGGCCACCTTCAGGTTGATGTGGTCGTTCTCCGTTTTCACCCCTTCCTGCGGGGAGACAACGCCGTGAGAACACCGCGAGGGGGGGACCCCGAGGGCCCGGAGGTGCCCGGGGCGGGGCGGGGCAGGGCAGCGGCAGCCGCCGAGCGGGCCCGGCCCCCGGTACCCGGCGTTGAGGCCTCAGCGGCCGGGCCGCGCCTCACCTTGGGCTTCTCCTCCGACATGGCGGCGGGGCCGGGGGGTCGGAACGGGCCGTGCCGGGCCGAGGCGGGCACGCGCTGAGGGGAGCGGCCCGCGCTCGGCTCCCGCCGCCGCCGCCGCCGCCGCCAACCGCCCTCGAGAGCGCGCGCGCGCGCCGCGCCCGGCCCCGCCTCCCCGCCGCCAACCGCCCGCGCCATTGGCCGCCGGCACGAGTCACGTGGGAGGCCACTGGCGCGCGCGCGCGCGCTCACGGCCGGGCGGGCGTGGGGGCGCGCACAGCACCGAGGCGCCTCTGGAAAGTGCGTCACGGGGGGCGTGGGCCACCGCGGGGTGGGCGTGGTCTCCCGTGGCCCCGCCCCCTCCCGGTCCCGGTCCCGCCCCGCGCCCCCCGGGCGGGCTCACAGCAGGAGGCGGCGCAGGGCGCGGTGAGCGGAGGTTTTAATGCGCTGCTCGGCTCGCAGCCGCCCCCCCCGGCGCTGCCGGGAGAGGCCCCGAAAGGCACAAGAAAAAGGCAGAGCCCACGGACAGCCCCGGGACCGGCCCGCCCCAGCCCCCCAGGGACCGGGGGGGCTTCCACCGGGAGGCTCCGGCCCTCACCGCGGGGCAGGCGAGGCCAAGAGCGGAGCCCGGAGCCCAGGGAGCGCTGGCACCCAGCACAGCACAGCCCCGGTGCCAGTGCCGTGGTGCTCTCCTCCTGGCCGGGGGTGTCCCCGTCCCGTGTCCCGTGGCTCGGTGAGGACGCGGTGCCGCAGGGGCTGGGGGCTAGTTGTCGAACTTGGCGTAGGGGTTCTCCTCCTTGAACAGCCCTAGGAGAGAAGGGACAGCCGCTGAGAACCCCCCCGGAGCAGCCCTCCCGCCTGCCACCGCCACCCAGAGCTCCGGGGAACAGCAGCTCCGTGGCACTGCCTGCCCCCAGCCTGTGTCCCCGTGTCCTCCTGGCAGGCCGGCCCCATCGCCCTCCCACTATGGGACACGGTTACTGGGCCTAGAGCTTAGTGGAAGACACCAGCAGGAGCCGCCGTACCGTATTTCCTTCGGATTTCGTCGTGCCGCGATTTCATCTCTGCTCTCCTGCGGGCAGAAAAGGGGCCACAAGTCAGCGAACAGCACAGCAAGGCCAAGCAGGCCTCTGGGATTTTTGGGTGCACCCCCAGTCCCAGCAGGGGCCCTGCTCACGGTGCACACCCCCCCACCAAGCACAGCACTGGGTGCAGCAGCGTGGCCTCACCTCTCCTCCTGGCGCACCCGTCTCCGCTCCCGCTCCCGGGCCGCTCGCTCGTCCTCCTTGTCTGGCCTGGCACACAAACAGCCCCGTCAGCACCAGCCCATGGCTGCACCTCAGCTGCTCTTCAGGAAAACGGAGCAGCCCCCTTCCTCCCCCTCCGGTACTTGCTTTTTGCTCTTTTTCTTGCAACAGCAGCAGCAGCAGACAGCCAGCATGATAAGGATCATTCCTCCCACCACAGACATCGCAATGATCAGGGCTTCAAAGTTCACTGCAGGATGCAAGGAGAGACACTCAGCACACAAATACCCGGCTGCTGGGAAGTTGCAGCGCTTACAGCCACGCAGGTGCTGTTACTGGAGTCGAGGCAAGCCAGGCGTTATTTCTAGGTGCACTAGCACATCCCAGACCCTTCGGGCTTCCTTCATGGTGTGGCTCAGGCAGCCAGCCCCACACCGCATGCCCACGTGGGGCATTTCACCGGGGATCTGGGTGAGCAGGTGGCAGCCAGCCAGCAGCTTGCAGAGCATCGCCTCTGTCCCCAGGTCCCGAGTTGTCCCTCACTGGTCACCCAGGAACGGGCAGGTCCAGGTAGGGCTTTGAAAAAGCCAGCGTTTGAGAGCTGACTCGGCAGCGCTGCCTTCCTGATGTGTAAGGTGAAGTTTTCATCTGGCCAGCTGCTCTGCAGCGAAACCAGAAGCCAAATATTGGAAATCAGCAGCGGCGGGCAAGGCAAAGCTAAGCAGACTGCTCCACCAGCACCTCTGCAACACGTGGCTCTGCGGGGTGAGCCCAACCTTCGTGTCACCCCTGCCCCGCTCACTCCTCTGCCTGATAACAAAGGCCGGAGTCGCACACCATAAATGCAGGCACATTTAAGAGCTAATCTCCTCCTGCAGGACTAATCTTCTCTAAAGCTAGTTCTGCAAGCTAAGGAATGTGTTCTTCCACAATGAGGCCTTTTATTGAGGCTACTCGCACACAAACTCGTATTTCAAGGTCTTACACAAGTCTCAGAAACTGATGTTCACAAAGAGGAGATTCTCTCTTCGTGAGGTGTGGGAGCAGTTTTCCCTCTGCAGGTGAAGGACCCGGCCTCCAGAACAATGGCTCACTGTGCCCACAATTCGACTTCACGTGCATCACAGGGACAGGCGAGAGAAACCAAGCCACGTCTTGTTTCCTAATGCTTCACCACCCAACACCTGGGGCTTGTCCCTGCACAAGCACACAACCTGGGTCTGAACAAGTCCTTTCTCCGGAGAGCCACCAAGCAGGAAACGCTGCCAGTCAACCACCAGCCAGAAAAGCCCCTGGTGATGACTTGGCTCCAGGTGGCTCATGCGGTGCTAATTTTGGAAGAGAAAACTTTCTCAGGTGGGTGAACTCGAGGAGAAGCCACCTCACTGTGCCTCCTGTAGCCCCCATGGACCTGAGAGCCTGCCGGGGCCAGCAGGCACAGCACCGAGGGACAGGGAGCCACGTGCTGGGCTCAGGGCAGTGCGGCTGTTGCAGAGCTCAGACGTGGGTGTGCACACTGTGGGGTGCTGCCCATGGAGTGCCCTCAGTCCTCACCACGTCCTGAAGCCCAAGGACCACACCAGGAGCAGCGCAGGGGTTACTCCTGCCAGAAGACGTGGCACTGCTCCCACTCGCCTTCCTCACCTGATGCTCAAAGAGCCCCCGGTGACTTCGGTGGGTCGCTGCCACCCCAGCAGCAGCAGCCCTGGGCCAACTGCTGGAGCCCCAGGCACTCACTCACCCCAGCAGACTCCCCAGCGCGCAGAGCGGAGCTCGCACAGGTCGGCCGGTGGCAGGATCCGCCGCACAGGGTAGGGCACGCACTGCTTGCTGCTGGCACACCACAGGCACTGCAACACACAACAGCACGGTGTCACCGCTGGGCAGCAGCGCTGCCAGGTAGCCAGGCTCCAGTTTGCTAGCCACCACTAAGGTCTGCAGGACAGGCACACAGCCCTTGTCCACCCGGTGCCACTGTCCCCGCAGCCTGCTGCCCCAACCAACCCCACCACGTGCCCAGGATGGGGGCTACATAGGGCCATGTGAGGAAAGCCAAAGGGAAACCAACTGTTTACAGGAAAACCTCAGTGGGAAGAGACTCTAGGAACAGCCTGCTCCACGTGAGGCAACCGACGGAGCTGGGTCCAAGCTGCTCCATCAGCAAGCACAGCCCAGCAGGCAGCCGGGTCCTCCTGCGCTCAGGGGACACACCTGCCCAAAAGCAGCGTCCTGCATTCCTAGGAGGAGCTCAGCAGTTCAACTGATGACTCAAGAAGCAGACCAGGAAGCCAGCAGTTCCTAGAGGCCTCGCCCCAGAGCACTGAGGAGTGTTTGTCTTCACTGCAGTGGGCAGGGATGACCGAGTCCCTTCACCCTGAGGGGGAAGCAGCTCCTCTGAACCACCCAAAACACGTGCTGCGCTTGCAGTTCTTTGGGAGAAACTGGGGTTTTACTTCTGCTACTGTCCTGCTTTCAGTTAAACAACAGAGTTAATTTTCCTCCTAGTAGCTGGTAGGGTGCTATGCTTTGGATTAGGATGAGAAGAGTGCTGATAACACGCTGATGTTTAATTGTTGCAGAGCAGTGCTTACACCAAGCCAAGGACGTTTTAGCTTCTCACTCTGTCCTGCCAGCGGGCAGGCTGGGGGTGCAGCAGGATCTGGGAGGGGATGGACCCAGGACAGCTGGCCTAAACTGGCCAAAGGGGTATTCCACACCATATGGGGTCATGCTAAACAATATATAGGGGTGGCTAGCCGAGGTGGGGGGGGCCGGGCTGCTTGGGGTTAAGCTGGGCATTGGTCAGCGGGTGGTGAGCAATTGCATTGTGCATAACTTGTTTCATACACATTATTAGTAGTAGTACTATTATCATCATTGTTATTATTATTATTTTTGTGTCTTAATAAACTGTCTTTATCTCAACTCACAGGCTTCACTTTCCCATTTCTCTCCCCCATCCTAGAAAGGGAGGGGGCAGGGTGAGTGCATGGCTGTGTGGTGTTTAGCTGCCGGCTGGGTTAAACCACAACAGCTACTTACGGTGACATTCTTCAGGCACTCCTCACAGCTCCTGTTTGTGAACTGGTGGCAATCTGCAGAAAGGGAAAGGACACCTCAGGACCACGAGGAGCTTCTCAGCACACCCCAGAGCCTGCTCCCGTCCCTGGCTCTGCATTTTAACGCTCCTGTCAGAGCTGCCAGCCACCAGACCCAAAAGGATGTGACATCCTCAGTGTCTGACACCCTCGGGGTCCCCACCTACGACACTGCACACCTGGCCGAGCCCCCACAGAGCAGCAGCTTGAAAACACAGGCACAGGGGAGAGGCGTGAGGCTGCTGGGGTGCGGGTCACGGACCTGAGCCCCCTTGCACAGGCACCCAGCAGGCAGGGACAGCGCATGGGAGCACCCTGCCCGCTGCCAGCCAAGGCACAGCACCCCCAGCACCACCCTGAGCCGGGACTGCTACAGGTCCCCGTGCTGAGCCCCAGGGGAGCTCTGGCTCCCCACAGGGAAGCAGTGGAGCAGGGCTGTGTTTTTTCCCTTCGCAGCTGGAAGGAAGCCCCGGCTGTGACCCGCCGCCCGTTACATGCTCCGCACGGAGCCCTCCAAACAACCAGGCAATTTATTAACGCGGCTCCTCAGATAAGGAGGTTTGTGCGCCACGGAGAGGCCGAGATCGCAGGCCCTGTGCCGGATCCCAGACGGGTTGGGGGCACCGCATCGCGCCCGTGTCTCCAGCCCAGGCTGGGCCCCCCCCGGCTCGCTGCTCCGGAGTTTCCGAGCAGCCCCCCCGCCCCGAGGGACGCGCTCAGGAAGCGAGAAAAGCGCCTTCACTTTCCCCTGCATCTCCATTACCGCCTCTCTCCCGGGACCCCCAGCGCTGCTACCCCTAAACCCTGCTCCTACAGCCCCGGGGGAACACCCCAGGACCCCAAACCCCCGTGCCCTTTGCCACCACCTCGGCTGCAGCCCCCCAAGGGCCGGGGACGGTCCCGCGGGACCCCCGCAGCTCCCCAGCACGGGCTGCGGCTCCCAGCGGTGCCGGAGCACTGGGGGGGCGCCGGGCGAGGCCGGGACCGGGACGGACACGCGTGGGACCCCCCCACGGCCCCGCGGGACCCCGCTCACCTCCCGCCGCCTCCTCCTCGCCCCGCACGGCCGCGGGGAGCAGCGCCAGGGCCAGGGCGGCGCAGAAGCGGAGCGCCCGGAGCGGGGCCATGGAGACACCGGCAGCGGGACGGGGGCCGGGGGAAGAGGAAGAAGAGGAGGAGGAGGAGGAGGAAAGGGCTGGGGACCGCCGCCTTTGTAGGGCCGGCAGCGGGGCGGGGGCAGGCCGGGGGCGGCCCCTCGCTGCCCGGCCCCAGGGAGCGGCGGAGGCGGCCGGGGCGCGTCCCCCCCCTCGGGTGGGTCCCGTCGGGTGTTTGGGGCGGGAGAGGCTTCCCCGGGTGCTTTTATTGATTGCCCAGAGGACAACAGAGGGAAAACAAACCAAAAAAAACAAAAACAAAAACCACCCAAGGCTGTAGCTTGAACGCCCGGCATCGCTGCCTGCGTCGTGGCGCTCAGCGCCTGCCCGCAGCGCAGGCTCCGCGCTCCCTGACGCGTCCCCTGGATGGGCTGGAAGGGGGTGACAGTCCCCCCGCAGGCTGGGACAGCAAAGGCACGACTGTGTTAGGTCAGCCTAGGCACGCAGGACGTGGGCACGCAGGAGATTTTGGCAGCTCCTCTGGAGAAATGGAGTCGGGAGCTGGGTGCCCCGCCGAGAGCTGGTGCTCCAGGAGGGACAGCAGCAGGCGGGGGCACCCGAGCAGCCCCAGGGGCATCAGCCAGGACCAGAGGTGCTGCAGGCATCGCGGGCACGGTGCTGGGGACGTGCCCTGATGCTCTTCCCAGCTTTTTCCCTTCCAGAGCGATGCCCCGCAGCCCGAGCCAGCTCTGGGTTTGGGCAGGCTTTAGGGTTTGCCAAGCACCTCGCGTGGCCGGCCTCTTCTTCTCGCCCACCAGATGACGTGGTGGCCATCCAGCATCCCGCAGCGCCGGCAGCGACTCAGTGGGGCCACGCGGGGAGCGTGGGTGTGGGAGCCCCATGCCCATGTGGCAGCAGCAGGCACAGGGCCGGGGGGCGCGGAGAAGCCACCGCGAGGGGCCAGGCAGTGCCTGAGCCTTATTTGTCTGCGAAGGGTATTTTCAACCCGCTCGAGATGGCCTCAAGTGGTTTCCAAGGCAACAGTGCTAAAGTCATCACTGCCATGGAAACCCTCTCTTTGGCATAATATAAATATTTTCCTTGAAGAGGGAGGCTGCGTGAGTGGGCGATGTGCTATTTTCTAGCACTCGCTGGCTGCAACAGGACAATCTCCAGGAGATGGGGGGGCCAGGGAGGATAAAATTAGCTCGGCATGCCAGCCACGGATGGAAGAAGGAGATTGGCAGGGTTTCGCTGCGAAACCCAGAGGTTTTTTATGTCAGCGGGGACTCACCCCAAAAAGATTCCCTCTGTAGGGAGAAAAAGAAAAAAATAAAAATGTCTGTAGGTTGGAAACAGCTGCTTTTTCTTGTCTTTCTTCAAAGTTTGTTTGTTTGTTTGTTTTTCTTCAAAGTTTTTTGAAGGCCATCCCAAAGGGTGAAAGAGCCCCTGTGGGGCTCGAAAGCGGGGTGTGGGGATGGCTCTGGGGCTGCCCTTGTGCCCTGGAGGCCAGCAGGGCCAGCCCCCACACCTGCAAAAAGTCCAAAAGGACAAAAAAGAAACAGCGAACCACTAAGGCATTGCAGCTGCTCGCTGGGAGCAACAATACAAGATAAAACCCCAAGGATCCACGGGCTAAATATAGCCCGAGCCCCATAAATTAAACAAAAGCTTTTCTCCGGGCTCTCAGAAAGCCCGTTCCAGCAGCGGTTTTATCTATGTAAGGTATAACTCCGCTGGTATTTGCTATTCCCAGCCGGGCCTCCCCTGTGTCCCCGACCTCCCCAGGGCGGTTGTTTGGGAGCGTTCATTTTGCAGATCCAGGCTTTCCCTCCTGGCAGCTCCCATTCTGTCGAGGCTTTCACACCTCGGGCTGCTCTCCTGCCTCTCTTTAAGGATTTACAACCACGTTTTCCCCTGTTTGGACACCGGAGCTAAAAGTTTTCCTTCTTTCAGAAAACTTGCATTTTTTGTTTTGTTGTTGTTGTTTTTTTTTGTTTTGGTTTGTTTTTTTTTTTTTTGATGTTGCCCAGTCTTGGATGCCCCATGTTTTGTAGGGCCGACTGTCTCAGGCTTCAGTTTAATTTAAACTTCTAGCATCTGTGATAGGAACAGTGAGGCCTTACAGATAAAACACTGCCCGCATCGCAGAGGTGTTAGACAGCTTCTGTGGGTCCTCTACAAGCCAACGTGGGGAGCTTGTCTCACCTCCTTTTGGGGTTTATTGACCACACCTTGGGTTTTGACACCACCTTCTCTTTGCTGGGAGTTCCCCCTGCCGTTTGAGGCAGCTTTAGCACCCTCCTGCCCCCAGCACGAGTGGCCAGCAGCACCCTGTACCCTGTGCGTGTCTCCCACGATGAGTTCCCTCGGCTTTATCCCGAGCGCGTCCTGACAGCGTCCTCCCCGCGTGCCGTCCTCAGCACGAGGCGTGCAGCTGACAGATGCTTTCCTCTCCCGGATATTTATGCTTTGTTTCTTTTTCTAGGGGCTTTTGCGGAATTATTTCACTTCCTGAGCGTGGAGCAGTGCTGAGGGCTGGGTTTGCTGCTGCTGCTCTGTGCAAGGCACCGCACCGGCCTCTGCGTCCCCACGCGTTTTGTGGCATCCATCCCGGGGCTGGGATTTGGTTTTAGCTCCTGGGTCTCAGGCTGAGGGCAGCAGCCCGCAGCTCAAAAATGTGTGACCAGGGCTGGCAGCCTGGAAAATCCCAAATTGCCCTTGCTGTGTGGAAGCACCATCTCCCAGCAGGGCTTTTCCCAGCCTCCGTGCCCTCATTTCTAACCCCAGATCTCAGCAACCCCAGGCCACAGCAAGCTATGCCGAAATCTGGCAGGAAAGCTCCACCTTTTCAAGCCCCCAAGTGCCAATTCCCCATCCTGGTGTCCCTGAGCACCAGCAGCTTGGCAGGGTCAGGCCCTGTTTGCAAACACGCCGCTACCTGCAGGCAGCCCCCACTGCTCGGGCTATTTTAAGTGAACTCGAGAGAAGAAAGTCAGCTCCGAGACTGCCATGGCTATATTTAGTTGGGACTTTTCCGTCCAGGATTCAGACTCTATTTGGAAACCTTTTACTTTGGAGCCCGGCCAAGCATCTCATTTTTATACAGTAATCCCTCAACATATGGCAAATGTTTCTTGTCTCCCGGTGGCTGCTCCATGGCCCCGGCGGCCCGAAGGCAGAGATTTCTAAGCTGAACCCGAGACAAGCTGGCTGGCTGTGGTCGTGGCTTGACATCCTCAACCCAGAAGGGTTTTTTTAATAGAAATGTTTTCTTTATGCAGCTTTAAAAACCCTCCGCCAGCATCAGAGCTGCCCCAGTCCTGGCCGACAGTGACCCTGCAGGAGGTGCCCCCCCGAAGCTGCTCGGCCACAAAGAAGAAGAAAGCCAAGATGTTTCCAGAGCTCCTCAGGGATGCTGGGCTCTTCCCAAGACATTGCAATGTCCGCAAGCTTCTCCCTTGGATGTTTTGGGTGAATCAAGGCTGAATGCAGCCCTGTGAGGCTTAGTGCAAGCCTTCCATTCCCACCTGTTTGTGGGGAACTCCCTCTGCAGCTTTGCAACGCTGCTCCCCTGGTGCTAAAAGCAGCCCTCGAAGCCAACCCATGGGGATGCAGTCCTGAAAACCCCCAAAAATCCTTAACCCAATTTAGGCTTTAAAATCCGCTAGGGGGAATGCTGAGGGTGGGCAGGAGCCACCGAAGCAAGGGGGGTGTTTGTCCTGGAGGGCTTCAGCCTCCCGAATGGGAAACGCAGCAAAGGCTGCGAGTCGGTGCATAGCTCTGTGTGTGCGTCAGCGCGTGTGACAGCATCCCTCCTGGAAACGCTGTCAAGTACACAGCTGTTTAGGACCGCCGAAAGTAAAAACAAAGGTTCCCAAGTGGTACGTGCATTTCCCTTCCGTGCAGCAGTCGTGAAGCAGGGAGGAGGGAGCCGACCCGAAAAAAAAAGGGGATCAAATAGCGATTTACACAGCCCTTCCAAATATTTTAGCATCGTGACACAAATGGTGATGTATAACAAAAATATCTGCTTGAAAGCCTTCAGATTAAATCCCACATCCTTATTTTAATTCAGGGACTTCACAAAGCACATTCTTCAAGTGATTCTGCTCGGCGCTTGCACTGGAGGGCATCCCAGCCCCTGGCAGCAGCGTGCCTGTGCCCGGCAGCCCACGGGTGGAAAGGGGCCGTGCTGTGGGGAGAGCCTTGCAAGGAGACTTGAAAACAACTCAGCTGGGGCCAATTGCTGTGAGTGCCCCCAGGCAGTGCCATGGGAGCAGCCCCACACCCATGGGTACACAGGGGGCCGTGCCTGGGAGGTGCCTAGGCCCCAGCCCTGCGCCCCTGCAGCTTGTTGCTCTGGTCGCTCAGTGCCACAGGGCTCCTCGTGGGGCTAATTTAATCCTGCTCGCTTCAGAGAGGCCCAAGCATCTGTGGGACCATCCCGGCAAAGCTCAACGTGCACCAGGCAGCCGGCCCTTTCCTCCTCCCCATTTTTCAGAGGCACCAGGCCTGCAGGGCCTCCCGAGCCCAGTGGCCACGGCAGCAGGAAGAGACAGCGGAGCCCGGAGGACAGAGTTGAAGCTTCTACAATGCCCAAACGTCTGCTGGAACTTATCCAGGCTTTACGGATTAGTTTAAACACCCATTAGTGTGTTCCCTAAAGCGCCGTGATTCATCCACAGTGATTCGATTCAGCTACAGCCTTTCATCTCCCTTGAATGTGGCATTTGCCTAAATCACGTGGGCTTTTTGTGCTGCTATGTTACACCTACGGGTCCAGCTGTTCCCTCCTGGCCACCTCCTAAATTGTGCCGTCCTGCCTGAAGAGCACCGGGTGCCTGCACGGCACCTGCTCCCTTGGGACAAGGCACAATTCCGCCACACCGTGCCCGTTCCCCGCAGCCTGCCAGCAAACCCCTCTTCTGGAGGCTGTGGTTTTCCCATCCTGATGATCACCTCTTGCAGCACCAGCCACCTTCGAAGGGCAGGATCCATGCGCTCACCTCCGGAGGGACAGGGTGTCTGCAGGAGCAGCCACCCCGAAAGCAGGGGGTTGTGGTTGGCAGGCTGTCCCTGAGCTGTATGGCCCCCTCGTGTCCCAGAGGGAGGGGATTGTTTCACCTCAGTGCTTTGCAGAGAGTTTTTTTTTTTTTTTTTCCCCTGTAATTCTGGATTTTCCCTGCCTCAGCTATCCGAGCCTGGGAAGTTGCCGCTCGTGGTGCCAAACGCCGCCCCGTTGGGTTTATTAGTGCTGAGTGTAAAACCTTGGCAAAGGCGTTCGCCATCAGGTCTGCAGAAACCCTGCCGGATCTGGGGCCTTCCAGGCAGATGGGCCTTATTAAGAGCTGTCACGCCGCTAACAGCACCTGACAGCTCTCAGACCTGCTTCCTAGGGCTCACTGGTGTGTGAGGCAGTGACCTGAGCGCAAGCAGAGAGACAGAAAGGTTTGGCTGCCCAGCCCAGGGAGATGCCTCCCTCCTCTCTTCAGGCAGGCTGGGATTTCTCCTCCAGCCCACGGGCTGTGTCCACACGGGCACCCCATCACCATTCCTCTGCAGAGCCTCAAACGACAAGCTGGGATGTGCCAGGGGCTCTGCCTGGCACTGTCACTGCTCAGCCAGGAGTCATTTTGGAGTTTCCCCCACCCTCATCCCATTTGCTCTGGCCTCTCTGCCACCTTCTTCAGCCCTAATCCTCCCCCTCCCGCCTCCCGTTTCCTGCCAAAGCCCTCCTGGAGGCACCCAAGGTCGCTGGATGAACCATCCCTGACAGCACCGCCCGCCTGAGGTTGCACGTGAGACGTTGACAGCCTCCAAACAGTCTCCAGGACCACTTTTCTGTGTATTTTAGCGAGCGTGTGATTTTTCCACTATATTGTTTACTCGGGTTAAGATAACTGCCGGGCACACTGACATGGCAGCCCGCAGCACAATTTCCTAAGCGTTTCGGTAGCATTATATCACACCAAGATAGGCACAGCACCTCGTGTGAGGCTGTGCTGCAGCATCCCTCCCACCTTTGGTCGGCCAGGAGTTCATTCTGGGGAGCCCTGCACCTGGGGTACGGCTGGAAATAGGCACTGTTACCCCGTGCTGCCCTGCCCCGGGGCATTTTGGCTGCACGTACATCCCTGCCTGCGGATCTGTGCTGCCAGCTGATGGTACCCCAGTGGTGCCACCATTTTTGCATTGTTGTCACCACCTCCTGCAAGGGTGCGGGATGGGAAGGCAGGGCTGTGCTGACATCCCACCAGCACACACAGGTGCTCGTGTTCCTCACCCTGGTGGCCCTCTGCCAGCTCCTGTAGGGGCTCTGTGGCTCCCAGGCTCTGCACATCCCCGCTGGCCCAGCGTGGGTTCCTCCTCCGCCCCAGCACATCGCACCTCCGGGGAGAGGGAGGCTTCATGCAGCCCCTGACTCACTCGCACCATCTTTCCCCGACAGCTGGCACTGGTTCCTGGCTCCGTGCGAGGAGCCGAGGCTGGGAGAAGCTGTGCAGCCTGCCTTGAGAAGCTGGCACCGGCACCGCTCAGCCTCTTCCCTGTGACTGCACCGTTGCAGCTCTCACTCGCTGTACGCCAGAGCTCTAGCGTTGGATGTGCCAGGCCCCTAGATTGCAAAATCAGAAATATTTCACCCTCTGGAATCTGATCCTGCCTAAAAATGACATCCTTTGGGCAGGCACAGGAGCAGGGGGACTATGAGCGCTCGGAGATGGGGTCGGTGCGGCACCAAACGCCTGCTGACGGGTGCCGCAGGGGGCACGTGTCACCAAGGTTCTTGCAGTGGAAGCGCAGCTCTCAGTGCTGCAGGAGACACACGGTGTGACCCAGCCACGGCCAAATGCCGAACCACTGGCCAAAGGCATGTGTATGGAGCCCAGCGTGCCAGGACAAAGAGCTTGGACGAGGAACTGAGAGTGGTGGGAATGGCTAGGGAGGAGCTGCAAGCAGTGAGGCAGGGTGAGGGATGGGGACGGGGATGGGGACAGGGTGGGGATGGGGTTGGGGATGGGGATGGGGATGGGTGAGCAGTGCAGGAGCCTCGACCAGCTCCTCACCAGGCAGTGTGTGCAGCACCAAGCAGCCAGGCTGGGAGAAGCCCACTGTTTGCACAGAAGTTCTTTGGGAAAACACGGTTAATTAAAACAGGCAGGTTTTAATGGGCTCAGCTGCCTGGGAGCAGAAGAGGAAAGCTGCTGGGGGGGGAAACAACCCCAGGGTGCTAGGCTGTCTGGAGGCTTTGCTGTCCCAGTGAGCAGGGTCCCCCCTCCCGCTCACCCACGTCTCCATCCAGCCATGGGTCCTTACCTCTGTGGTGGTGGGGAAGGGGACATTTGGGCAGTGCTGGCATCTCCTAGTTCTGTGGCCGAGGGGCATCCCTCTGCCTGGCATTTTCTAATTTTGAGCCAAATCTGTCACTCTTCAAGCCTCCCAGCAGGTCTTACTGCGAGTTAATATAATGCTGGTGGCCGCCTGTGGGCAGGAGTGAGAGCGCGTCCTCCTCGCTGGCCCGGCCACCACCAGAGCGCAGAGCAAAAGCTGCAAGGAAAACCCAGCCTGGAAGTTTCCCGAGTGATTTGTTTCCTTCTGAAATTTTCCCCTTTCTCCTTAACACCCTGGAGGAGGGTGGGAGGGCAGGCAGACGGCTTCCCAAGCAGCCCACCTGCCTGCAGACCACGAGCTGGGGCCGCAGGGATGGGGATGCCACAATAAGGCTTTCCTTGCTTCCGTGCCAGGGAGCCAGACTGATGGGACTGCTCGTTATCCGCCCTAATTGTTTTATCCTGATTACTTGCTGACAACTTGGTGTGCCAGTGCAGCAGCATGTGAGGAGGGTGGGGTGTTTCCATCCTTCATAGGAGCAGCCCTTGGACTCTCGGGCGATGGCATGCAGTGCCCTGGGCCGTAGCAGGAGGCGGATGGGACACGTCCCCTGGTGGGACATTGCCCCTTTTCTGCCTGGCAGCGTGGCGTGTCAACGGGAGGGACAGCTACACCCAGCTGATGTCCTGTCCTGAGCCCTGCCGTGCTGCAGAGCATGCCAATGAGCTCCACGTGGCCAATGCAGCCCAGCCCCAGGCAACAGGCAGCCAAGGTGGTGGTGGGGACCTTCACGGTGCTGGGGACATCGCGGTAGGGACAGCCAGCAGGGCCCCTTCCATCTCTCTGCACACACAGAAATAAATACGTGGCTTCGTTCCTGAGGGATCGGTCCCTTTGCTGGCTGCTGCACGGCTTTCCAGCATCCCCTCCTGTATTTATGTTCTCTGGATGCAAAGCTCTGGGAGCTGCCAGCAAACGCTGACATTTTCCCAGTGCTTCTTAGGGTGAAAAATGCTCAGCGCAAAGCCCTGGCATGCACCGAGCTTCCCAGAGAGGCTGACCCCTGTCTCGCAGCCAGGCTGCCCGCTCCGGGAGCGCCGCTCCTCCCTGCGTGCCACCAGCCCCGCTGCAGCCTCTCAAAATTGTTGAGCATCGAAACAAGGAACCGTAAGTGACTCAGTAGGTTTTAAGGACAATTTTTGCCAGGCAAAATGTGATGGCTTTTTTGGCCGGAGCTAGAAAACAGGGCTGCAGCTCCAAGCATCCCAGCTTCCAGCACGCTGCTGGTGTTAACCGGGAGAGCGAGGCTCTGCAGGACCCAACCCTGGGGTGAATCGGGGTGCACCCAGTGTGCAGGGCCCCTCCTGCACCCCGGGAGCAGGCCACATTTCTTGTTGTCACGTTGGCACGGGCCCTGAGCCCATGCGTCCTTCCCCAAAGGGAATTGGGGGGGAAGGAGGAGGATGAAGCCACTGTCCTGGAGCGGAGGTGGGGACATGCCGGGACACAGCACGGGGAGGGCTGCGGGAGAGAGATGGTCACCAGGGCTCATCCCGATCATTTCTCATCCTTCCACCCCTTTAATTTCCTAATTAATCCTTGGAAGGAATAGCTGCTTGGACGCGGGGAAGGAACGAAACTCCTCCATCTGCGTTTCACCAGGAGCCTGGGCAAGGCGTCAGCAGATGCAGTGCGGCACAGGGAAGGGCGGCAGCACCCAGGGGACCTGCACAGCCCGCACACAGCCCCTGGGGCCAGCGCTGGATCGGGGCTGAACCTGGCCAGGCTTCAGCTGGCGCAGCATTTCGGGCGGTCCGGGCTGCAGAGCCCGGCCGGAGCTGTCACCCTGCTCCTCGCTGCCTGTCTCAAGAAAGTTCGGGCTCAGCCGTGGGTCCCCTTCCCCTGCTTTTTTCTTTTTTTTTTTCTTTTTTTTTTTTTTTTTCGAAGGAGGAGAGCCGCGCGCATCTTTAAATTAGCACAAATTTAGAGAAACACAAATAAAAGCCATGCCTGAAATAGTGTCGCCCCCGAGCAGGAGGGCAGCCGCGTCATGGAAAGAAAATAAAACCGCTTTTTATCTCTTCGGGCAAATTTTTTTATTTTTATTTTTTTTATTTTTTTTGGTGTTTGTCTGCTTTCCGCGGCTCTCTCCGGCCCTGGGGAAGGAGCCCCCTCGGGCACGGCTCCGGGGACCACGAACCCCCCCCCCCCCCGGGGGGCCGAGAAGCGGAGCCGGGCTCGCCGCGGGGCAGCGCCGTCGGGGGGCGGCCGGGCCGGGGGCGAGGCGGGGGCCGCTCCCCTCCGCCCCCCGCCCGCCGCTCTCCGGTACCGGCGGGCGGAGCGGGGCCGGCCGGGCTCGGTGCCGGCCCTCCTCGCCCATCGGCCGGCCCCGCGGCCAGGCTCCACCTTCCGAGGGGGCCGCCGAGCTGTCAGGCGGCAGCACCGGAGCCGCCGCCGCCGCCACCGGAGAACCCCCCACACACACACACCCGGGGCTCCGGAGCCGCCCCCCCGCCGCCGTCCTGCCGATGGCCCCGCTCGCCCGCCGCAGCCTCGCCTCCACGTAAGGCTCCAGCGGAGAGCCCCGGGGCTGGGGGCTCGGGGAGGGGAGCAGCGGGAGCCCCGATCCGGGCGGGGGGAGCCCCCGGGGGCAGCCCCCAGCAGCCGCCGTCCCCGAGCCCGTCCCGGCTGGCTGCGAAGGGGACTGGGTGCGAGGGGATCCCCGGGGCGTGGGGGGAGCGGGGAACGGGGTGGGGGCTCCGGGAGAGGGGCACCGAGAGAGGCAGGGACGGGGCAGCATCCCGGTGTCCCCGGGGGGTGAGAAGATGGCTGCCTGAGAGCCTTCGAGGCAGCCCGGGGATGCCCGGGGGGGCTCCGTGCCACCACTGGTGTCTGGAGGTGCGTCGGGTCTCAGCGAGCCGCACGCCTCGGTGGGGACGCAGCCTGAGTCAGCCCTCCCTCGGCGTCGCCAGGCCAGAAAAGCCCGTCGGTGCCTTCCTCGGCAGGCCAAAAGTGCTTGCTGTGGAGGGCAGGAGGTACGGGGAGGCGCTCGGAGAGCCCGGCCGAGGGCAGGAGGCCGCCTGCAACTTGTTCTGCTGGTTGCGTTGGGGATGAAAGGGGAGAAGGAGCAATTCCCGAGCTCCCGGAGAGAGGTGTTTTCCCACACCAGGTGTGGCGAGCCCATGGGACTCTGTGCCGTGGGGTTCTCCAGGGCAGGTAGTGGGGTTTTCCTGCTCCCGCGGTGGGAATTTGGTTTGAGACGGGCGAGCTGATGGGGTCGGGGTGCTGAGCACCTGCTTCACCGCCTGTCTCTGCAGGAGGCTCCTGTGCACGCAGGCAGCCCGGGACCTGGGAAGCGTCCTGCTCCAAAAGCACCCGAGCTCGGATCCAGGCTGCTCCTAACTCAGCGAGGGAAATTATTCTGGAAAAAGGCAGAAGTCGGGAAGCGGTGGCGGTGGGTGGCTCTCCTCCCCAGCTTTGCCGCTCCTCTGAACGCAGCAGCCGGGGCTGGGGAAGGATCCCTTAGCGAAACGGCGCCTGTAGGGATGTGTAGGGACGGACGAGGGATTTGAGGCTGCGCGCCCATGGGTGCCCCAGCCAGAGCGCAGGGACAAGGCAGGGCAGGGGGAGCGGTGGGCAGCTGGCACAGCGCACAGAAAGGAGCTGCGTGAGGGGTGCTGGGCACACCGTGCCGGCTCTAGCCCTTCGTGATGCCAGCACAGCTCCGCACCAGGGCGCTCGGCCCCACACGTGTGTTTTGGGGCCGGACAGCGGTGGCACTGGCTGCACGTGGGGAAAGGAAAGGGTAACGTCCACCACAAGGGAGCTGCGGAAAGGCAGAAGGGTAAAATCCCACCCAGCGTGTCCGCCCGGGCTGGTCGTGGCACGGCTGGCACACCGCGGAGGGTGCATTCTCGTGTGATCGCAGAAAATACTTGGAGCGTGACTTGGTCGGGTTTTGTTTGCTGCAGTGGGACAGGAGCGATTTACGCCCCACCCCCGGCCCCAGGGGCCTCTCCCCAGCGCACCACAAGCAGAGGATGGTCTGTCCAAAAAGATGGGTCGAGCAGGCTGGAAAATGCCATCCCTGCGGGAACCCGGCTGCTGGTGTCCTGCGAGGCAGCGCTGCGGGGACTGGCTGCTGGGGCATGCCTGGCTCCAGCCAGCGGGCTCGGCCTCGGGGTTAGCAGGATGAGGCCCCGCTGGCATCTCCGCCAGGGGCTTGAGCATTTGGGGCCCTGTGGGTCCAGGCAGGAGCCCCACAGGCGGCTGTGTAGGAGGCGAGGCGAGGCGAGGCGGCCGCCCCAGCGCGGCACACAGGGGGTGAGGGAGCGCGTCCCAAGAAGCACTCACAGCAAGGGTAGCCCGGCATGATTTGTAACCCCAGCGAGGGTGCTATTTTTAGGAAGAGGCAGATTTTGATTTAATATCGCCTAATTTGCCGCTGACAATTCAGAGGCCGTCCAAATAAGCAGCAGCTGGATTCCTAAGGAGGCTTTCTCCTGCCCTTCCTGAAATCCACGGCTGACATGCCAGAAGTGGCATTTGTTGTTCCAGAAATTGCTGGGGGAAAGCCCCTGGGGACGGCCCAATTAGCTCCTCTTAGCTTCGCTTTTCTTGCACTGCTTCGTGGCGCCCCACAACCTCTCACTAAAAGGAACAAGAGGTATTTTTGCTGCCACCCGTCGCAGGAGCACAGGGCTGTCTGCAGGCTGTGACTGGCAACAGTCCTGGGTTGGCGAGTTTCGGTACTTCCAGAGGCAAGGAAGGGAAACCGTTCAGGTTGAGGTGTAAATTGAATTTTTCTGCAAAACCCCAGACCTCTGGGAAGGGGGCAGTGCCTGTCCCAGGGCCGCAGCCCAGCCAGCAGTGTGTCCCCAGGACAGGCAGCCCTAGCTCTGCTCCTTCAGGGAGCTGGAGGCAGCAGGCAGATCCCCCCCCCCCCCCTTTTCCTTTCCTTCTGTAGACTGAGCTAGTTCGACTCTCTCAGCCTCTCCTTGTATAAATTTGAGATAAAACATAGTTTCTGGTCCAACTAAACAGCTCGTTTGCCTGGAAACAGAAAGCCTGTTTGCACTCGCGGAGGATTTCTGACAGACTGCGTTCTCCTGAGCCAGCCTCGGGGGCACCTTGCGACAGACGCCTCGTCCTGGAGGTGTTCAGACACAACATTTCGGCTTCACCCTGGGGCGAAAATCCCTGGGAAACCGGTGCTTGTGCGGGCAGCTTTCTGTAGCCAGAAGGAAGAAGCCCCACAAGCGTCACGCCCTGCCAAGCCCTGGGGACAAAGAGCAGGGGTTCCTAAACCAGTGCCCCCAGCCCCTGCCGCGGTCCTGGCAGCCTGGCGGCCCCATGGATAAGAAGTTTCCCTGGGGGACGGATGTGTCACCCTCTGTCACCTCCTTGGCCCCTTCTTGTAGTGGAGGGTGAAGCAGCAGCAGGGAAAGGGGCTGGGGGAGCCCAGTGGAGGGAGGACAACGTGCACGTGTGTAACACTCCCCCGCCCTGGCGGTGCTGGGGAGGTCCAGCAGCAAAGCAGGGCTTGCTCCAAGCTGCAGCTCCCAGCTGCCAGCACCTCCGCCTGCCAGGCTCATTCAGCCCCAGCAAACGTGTGCCACGGGTGGGTGCCAGCCACACCGGGCTCTGCTTCGTGTCTCCCAGCCGTGCAGGTAGCGCTCGCTCCAGCATCTGGAAAACCAGTCCCAGGCAGCCCCTGCTCTGCTTTACCCACTTACTCCTGACCCCGCAGCCAGCACTGGGCAGGGAGCTGGCCCTAAACCCGAGATCTAATTGCTCCTGTCTGCTCCTTGAAGAACAACCGTCTCGAGGGCCGTCTGCGTGTCCCCGGGATGCTGACATTTCCCCCCCGGATCTCAGCAGCTGATTCGGTTAAGTGAGGAAGCTAATAAATTTTGATGCCTGCAAATTGATCGGCTGGAGTCTTGTCACTTCGTTTGAAGCCCTCTGACATTTCCTCCGTGGCACAGCTTTTCCTAGCACTTTTCTTCCCGCGGGTTCTCCCGCACCCAATTTTTAACACGGGTTTTCATTACAAATGATGATCGGCTGCAGGAGCCGGCTAAAGGCCAGCACCAGCTCTGTAGACGGAGAGGCGATTTGTGAATTTCCACTTTCATTCACATCTTCTGCCCTCCGGGCATCGTGAGCGTTGTCTGTTGTAATTAACAGCATTGTTCCTTCTGCTTGTATCGTGTTCAATTTTCTGGAAATTGCTGATGGGAGAACTCCAGCGAGGGGCACCAGGGCTTATATCACTGAGCATTGCCCGTGTTGTTCCCATTGCCTTGGGAATCCCCCCTACATGTGGCACTCTCTCCAGCAGGACAAGTCCCAGGTGCAAGCTCTGGGTGCTTGGGGCCAGCAGCAGTGCCACGGTGCCTCGGGATCACTGCTGGGAGACGATGCTCATGGGTGATGCTCCCCAGCGAGCCTCCATTTGTCCACCCCGAGCATCCCCACGTGCCAGTGGACATCCAGCTCCTTTTCCTGCTGCAGCAGTTGCCTTTTCCTCAGCTCATAACCTCCACAGAGCCACATCCTCCGGGTGCCAGGAGCAGGGACCAGGCTGCTGCGAGGAGCCAGGCTCCAGCTCTGTGCACCCACACTCTGCCTCCATGGATCCCACCCCTCCATGGGTTCCTATGTGGGAAAGCACCCGTACCCCCTATTTCCAAGCTCACCAGCCCCGATGACCGTAACTATGGCTGTTTCTCCCCCAGGAGGGAGAGCTGGAGCCAGGAGGAAAGATGTGAGCTGTGGGGACAGCACTACTGACACCGGCCTCTCTTTCTTTACCACCCCAGGGAGGAGGCTGCAGGACGGGCGGCGCTCCAGCAGCAACTGCTCTGAAGCCCTTTGATCTGCTGCCCACGGGACCGGAGCCCACCGTGATGCTGATGTGAGCCTGGGCAGCTCCTGGTGTGGTTGTGGGTGGCCGTGGGGCGGCCCCACTGTGCCCCACAATGAGCGACGGGGGCTGGATCTCGCTCAGCCCGGCCGAGTTCGCCCAGCTCCAGCAGTACACCGACTGTGAGTACCGCGGCTGGCTGACACCCCTCGGCTCCCTGCCTGTGTTCTTAAGCATCCAGGGATTTTTCCTGCGGGGTTTGGGTCTGTTTGGATGGTTTTGGGGTTCAGAGGGCTTGGCGGGGGGTGTCACCCACAGGGGTGCCCAGCCTGCAGGTTTCAAGGGAAGCTCCACCCTGGCCACCTTCCCGTGCTGGCACAAAGGAGAAAACCCCAGTTACCCCCACTGGAGGTAGTGAGAGATGAGAGTGGAGCTGCTTTAAAGGAAAAAAGGGCCCCATCACCACCCTGCAGTGGGGAGGGGACCCTTGAAGCCAGCACTGCCGCACCCAGGAGCGCTGCGGACCCCTTCCCACAGAGCCCCCGCGCCGTGGGATGCGGCAGCGCAGACGTGCGCTCGGCTCCATCCTTCCAAAGGCTCCCACATTCGTGAGCAAAATGAAATGCCAGCAAGGAAAGCAGGCGGGCTTTTCCCAAACATGCAGAGCTGCTCTACAGCTCGGCTCGGGCTGCCAGCCCTCTGTGATAATTTTACTTTTGCAGAGAAGGAGTTTTGCTTTTGCAGAGAGCAAATCGTGAGCCTCATAACATTTATGCAATCAGAGAATCACAGAATGGGTTGGGTTGGAAGGGAACTTGAAGATCATCTTATTCCAATCCCCTGCCCTAGGCAGGGACCCCCCCACCAGCCCAGGCTGCCCCCAGCCCCATCCAGCCTGGCCTTGGGCACCTCCAGGGATGGGGCAGCCACAGCTCTTTCCCTTCCCTTCCCTTCCCTTCCCTTCCCTTCCCTTCCCTTCCCTTCCCTTCCCTTCCCTTCCCTTCCCTTCCCTTCCCTTCCCTTCCCTTCCCTTCCCTTCCCTTCCCTTCCCTTCCCTTCCCTTCCCTTCCCTTCCCTTCCCTTCCCTTCCCTTCCCTTCCCTTCCCTTCCCTTCCCTTCCCTTCCCTTCCCTTCCCTTCCCTTCACCCCGAGGCACGGCGGCACCGCCGGCATCTTGTCCTGCCTCCTCAGAGAGCGGGCTCTGCGGTATTTAATCACAGGCCATAAAACACCATCTGCAGTGCCGAGTCCACGCACGGCGTCTTCGTTTGGTTGATCAAAGTTTGGCAAGCGAGACTCGCTCGGCAAGCAGGGGGCGGCTGCGGAGGGGCTGCTGGAGAAGGAGCTGGTGTTGTGTACAACCGTGAATATCCTTCCCTTCTGCAGACATGGCTCTGCCACCCTTGCGCGATCCCCAGGGGGCTAATCATGGACATGGCAATGTTTTGAATGCCGGCACAGCTTTCCAGCGTGCAGAAGTGCAATGTCTTTGTCTCCCCCAGACTCCACCAAGAAGCTGAAGGATGTCCTGGAGGAGTTCCACGGGGACGGCGTCCTCTCGAGGTACAACCCCGAACAGGTACGGCCCGCTTCCCTCCAGCCTGCTCGGCCGTGCCGATGCAGGAGATGCTGCAGGGAGCCCCCAGACCCTCAGCTGGCTCCCCAACCCCATCCCACCCCCCCAGCACTGCAGGGACCCTTGCAGAGAGTGTCCTGGGGCATCTCCTTGGCAGGCAGAGGCAGGGAGGGGGTTTGCTTTCTCCAACCTCTTACTTACACTTCCCCCGGAGCAAATTATTTTGCTGTTGCCAGTGCAAGGACCCAGCAGGCCCTCCGCCTTGTCACGCTTGCCAAGGGAAGGCCAGGGTTATTTTTTTCTCAAGAGGTGCTTTTAGAGAGTCGTTAGCGTGCCAGCATGACGGAGCCTTTTCAGAGGGGCTGTAATCACGAGGAACGAGGTGAAATGAGAAAATCCACAGGCTGAACGCAGCGAGGGGGGGCAGCCGAGCTACCCGGCTATTTAAGCTCACGGTGGGGCTCCAGGAGGCCACAAAGGAGATTTCTCTGTGCTGTCCCCAAAAACGCCTCCAGCCCTGGTGGCACCAGCCCTAGCACGGCCCCAGCACGTGGGCAGCCTGCGGCCCCTTCGCATCCTGCGCTCCTGTGGAACGGGCACAGGGCCAGGGGGGTCCCAGGCGGCATGGGGGGGACGTTTCTCCCCTTCTGTTAAACCTCCGGGCTCCTCTGGGCCTCACCATGGTGACCCTTCCCCGTTGCTACCAGTGGGTGCCTGAGGGGGTGTCTGAGGGTGCCCGGCACTGGGGGCTGCCCCGTGGAAGCTGGGTGCTGGGGAGGCAGCACCCGGATTGTGGAGGGCGCCCCACATACGGCAGCAGGGTGGGCAGGGGGCTCTGCCCCCCTCCGTGTGCCCCATGCCTCCCCCACAGCCTCCCCTCCGCCCTCCCCAGCCCATCGACTACGAGGGTTTTCGGCTCTTCATGAAGACCTACCTGGAGGTGGAGGTGCCCGAGGAGCTTTGCCAGCACCTCTTCACGTCCTTCAAGCGGAAGATCTGCCAGGCTTCCCCCGAGGCCCAGCGCCAGAGCCCCGGCGTCCCCCAGCTCGGTGCACTCGGTGAGCCCCCTCTGCCCCCGCTGCTGGGTTCCCCGGGGGGGTGACACCGTCCCCGTGGTGGCACAGGGGCAGGGGCCGTGGTGGGGACGCTGGGTCCAGCCCCAGCAGGGCTGCCACAGCCGGGATCTGTGCTGTTGGCTCCCCCCAGCCCTGCTCTGCAGCAGGAAGGACGGGGCTTTCCCTAGGATGGGGGACCCAGGGGGGCTTCATGGCACTTAATCCTCCACGCGTTCAGAGCCAACATCACTCGATGCTGGCATCTCCATCCAGACCGAGCTGGCCCATGTCCCTGTCACGGCTACCGATGCTGGTGGCCACGAGGTGTGCGGCCCCTGTGCACAGTGGGGTCGTTGGCTGGGGGCTCAGCACCCGACCCGATGGCTCCGTCCCCTGCCTGGTGGATTTGCAGCGTGTGGAGACATCTGCCGAGAGCTATTTAAACTGCAAAACCCATAAGGGAAGCCTCCCCTGGTGCACACAAAGGACGTGCCAGCCCCCTGCACAGCGGTGGTCGTTCCCCCAAGGACGTGGTGGGAGCCACCAGCCGTGCCAGAGGGTCGGGGGCAGCCGTGGTGTGGGACCCCCAGGCCAGGATGCCAGGAAGATTTTGGGCAAGCAAAGAGGGTGCGGTGGCTAGTGGCCAGCAGCTGGGCATGCAGGGGGTCCTGGAGGACAGGGCTAGCAGGGGAGGCAGACAGGTGCCCCACGCCCATGGGGATCCATCCTTTTTGCAGGGATCAACGGGAAAACGCTGCTGAGTGCCCTCGGGCGCCACACGGCTGAGCCCAAGGGCTGCCACAGCGGCACGGCCGAGCCACCGCCGGCGTCCCTGAGCCCGGCATCCATCGCCAACGCCTCGCCCAGCTGGTCCCGGTCATCCTCCCAGAAGTCCACCACGGGCACCCCCTCTGCTCACAACTCCTCAGGGTCTTCAAAGGTCTCCTCGGGTTCCCTGCTCAGCCCGCAGTCACCAGGTGAGCTCAGCCAGGGCTGTGCAGGGGTCGGGTGGCAGGGTGGCTCCTGCAGGTCCCCGGGGCAGCGGCGGTGACTTTCCCAACTGGGCGGCTCCCCAGGGCCTCAATACCTTCGCTTTGCACACCGATGCCACCGGTGCTGAGCCACAGAGCCGCTGCCACTCAATGTCTTAATTACCTGGCAGCAGTTCCTAGGGAGAGAGGTGTTAACGAAGTGACTCACTGCTGCGCTGGGAGCGAGCGGCCATCTGCTGCAGGTGACACCGGCAGCGCCAGCGTGGGTTGTCCCCTTCCCTGGGGACAGGTGTCATCGCTCAGCCCCACGTCCCCCCATGCCGCCGGAGTTATGCAGAGCACCCCGGAGAATCCCGCAGCCCCCTCCTGAACGTGCAGCCCTAATTCTCTCCCCTCCCTCCCTGCCTGCAGGCTCAAGGAGCTCGGAGAAGAGGCTGCCCTTCAGCCTCCGGAAAAGCCACAGTGCCCTGAAAGCTGCCCCCACGCACCCCCCGGCCTCCCTGGCTCAGGTGGTCTACTTGAAGGACATCGTCTGCTACCTGTCCCTGCTGGAGAGGGGACGGGCAGAGGACAAGCTGGAATGTAAGCGGGACCCTGGGGTCACAGGCTGACAGTTACTGGGTGAACTGGGAGGAACTGGGGGGAACTGGTTCCTGGAGGAGGTGCAAGGGCCAGATACGCTGCGTCCTCCTCTCCTGTCACCCCTGCCCCAGGCCAGGCTGTGGCAAAGATGAGACCATGGGATGTTTTCCCAAAAAAGAGCAATATTTCAAAGAGGGAGACAGTGAAGTGCAGGTGTTTGCTGCTGATCACACTGAGGGAGCGTTTCAGATGTGGCGTTGTAATTAACTGATGGAGGCACGGCCGATGGCCACTGCAGGGTGGGCTGGGCACCACGCGCTCCGCTGGGGCCAAGCTAGGCTGGCTGCAAGCCTGTGGGGCTGGAGAAAAATGTGGGGCTAGAATTAAGCCCTCGAGATCCCTGCTTTTGTCCACCACCCAGTTTTATTCCCTGGTATTCCCTGGGTTAATGGCTGGGTTAATGGTGTTGGCTGTGGGCACTGAGGGATGCTGAGCAGGGTCCTGCCGTGACCCTTCCCACCAGGATCCCAGAGGAAGGCATGGGCACAGGCTGCAGCAGCCCCACGGGTAGGTGTGTGGCCTGGCATACATTTATCTTTCCCTCCTGTTGGAAATTCAGACTCATCCCCAAGGAAAAGAAGGGACAGGAGCATGTGGTATGGGGCACCAGGGCATGGGGGGCCATGGGCCGGGTCCAACCTGCCACGGCTTTTCTTCTCCCTTCAGTTATGTTTCGCCTCTATGACACCGATGGGAATGGCATCCTGGACAGCTCGGTAAGCCCGAGGGGAGAAGCCTGGGGAGATGCAGGGTGTCCTCTCCGTGGGTGCAGGCAGGCTGGTGACACAGAGGATGAAGGCAGGACAGGACAGGACAGAATACAATACAATACAACACAATCATTAGGGTTGGAAGAGTCCTCCAAGATCATCTGGCCCAACCACCCCCCTACCACCAATGTCCCCAAGCACCACGTCCAGCCTCTCCTTGAGCACCCCCAGGGACAGTGACTCCACCACCTCCCTGGGCAACCCGTCCCAATGCCTGACTGCTCTTTCTGAGCAGAAATGTCTCCTCATCTCCACCCTGAACCTCCCCTGGCACAGCTTGAGGCCATTCCCTGGTCCTATCACTGGTTACCTGTGAGAAGAGGCCGACCCCCAGCTCCCCACAGCTTCCTTTCAGGCAGTTGCAGAGAGCAATGAGGTCTGCCCTGAGCCTCCCCTTCTCCACACCAACCCCCCCAGCTCCCTCAGCCGCTCCTCACAGCACTTGTGTCCCAGGCCCTTCCCCAGCTTCGCAGCCCTGCTCTGGACACGCTGCAGGGCCTCGATGTCCTTCTGGTAGCGAGGGGCCCAAAGTCTCAGAGCGTGCTCCTGCTCTGCAGCATCTGGCAGCAGCTAAAAAAAAATTCACCCATGGCCAATGCTGGTCCCAAGTCAGGTGCCTGTATTTGAGAAAAGGAATTTTAGTGCACAGGGAAGAAAAAATGAACAACAACAACAACAACAAAAGTGATGTTTTCTCTGTTTTCTGTGGGTATTTCCCTCAAAACCCCGTGTTTTGCCAGGGTGGTTTTTCCAATGGATAACCCAGTGCAGTTTTTGGGGTGGGTTCTCCGAGCAAAAAGCAGCTCCCTGCCGAGAGCTGGGGTGCTGCCAGCCTGCGGCTTGCGTGGGCTTGTGCCCAGGGCAGCCTTGGGCACCTCAGTGCCTCTGAGGCCTGCGGCTGCCCCTCACCTCCCGGCGTGGCCGTGTCCCTGTGCACAGGAGCTGGATCGTATCATCAACCAGATGGTGCACGTGGCCGAGTATCTGGAGTGGGACTCCACCGAGCTGAAGCCCGTGAGTGCCCAGCTGGGGCCTGGGGGGACTCGGGGCCACGCACCACAGCGCTGTGCCACCGCCTCTCCCTGTCCCACAGATCCTGAAGGAAATGATGGAGGAGATCGACTACGACCACGACGGGAACGTGACGCTGGAGGAGTGGATCCGGGGCGGCATGACCACCATCCCCTTGCTGGTCCTGCTGGGCATGGAGACGGTGAGGCTCCGCCGGGCCCTCTCAGAGCACCTGGAGGAGGCCACGGCGCCAGGAGCCACGGGAGGGCAGCCTCCCCTCGGCAGCCCACATGGGCCTGGCTTTGCTCCACGCCATCGCAGCGTGCTCCAGTTCCACACATGTTTAACCCAGGAGAGGAGCACCCAAAAAAATGCCAGGTCGCTCTGCTGGGGCGGGATCCCAAGAGCAGAGCTCGGGCGGTTTCCACCCTCTTTATTTCCCTTTCCCGTTTTTTCATCCTGCCAAGCTTTGTGTCTGCAAGGTGCATCCAAGTCCCCGGACTCCTTATGACAGTTTGCAGGGAAAGTTTGGGCTTTTTGCCAGTGCTGGGGTTTGCTTTCTATGGAGACGCGAGCGGGCAGATTTTCAGGCAGGAAAACTCAGCCCACTTAAGCGGGTCCTGGGAAGTATTTGCGCCCAGATTTAGGAGATGTGCTCATCCAGTGAGGGTTTCAGCTGCCTTTATTTGCTCTCCCTGCTCAGCAGGCAGCTTTGCATGGCAAATAAAGTAAAGGCGACGTGAAGCTGCTTGCAGGGAGCCGGTGTCTGGTGGGGGTGATGTGACAGGCACGTGGTGGCATCACCTGCAAAGTGTCCCCGCTGCCAGGCCAGGAGCTGAACGTCCCCGGGGAGATGTGCCGAGCACCGGGGGCAGCATGGGTGCAGGGGGGGGACACCAGGGAGGGAAAGGGAGTGGCGAATGACCCCCCCCACGCTCTGTCCTGTTGCCCTGCAGAACGTGAGGGACGACGGGCAGCACGCCTGGAGGCTGAAGCACTTCAAGAAGCCTGCCTACTGCAACTTCTGCCGCACCATGCTGCTGGGCGTCCGCAAGCAGGGCCTCTGCTGCTCCTGTAAGTCACCTCCCCAGGACGTCCCAGCACCCCATCCCCGCTGGCGCCCAGCAGGGCACCCAAGGCTCATGCTCACCTCCTCCTTCCCTCCTGCCAGTCTGCAAATACACCGTCCACGAGAGGTGCGTGTCCAAAGAGATCGCCTCCTGCATCAGCACCTACGCCAAGTCCAAGAGAAACACCAATGTGAGTAGGTGGCCGGCACACAGCACCTCTCTGGCCCTTCCATCTCCTGCCCCACGGTGTCCTGCCAGTTTTGTTGTGTGTTATTTTTTTTTTTTACTCCCTGGGGTTTGCAGCTCTTGCACGTTCCCAACCTCGGGAGCCCCATCCCTGGCTTGGTTCTGCAGGGGAGCAGGTGCTTGGAGGGGGCTGGTGGCCACCATGTGCTGCACAGTGCAGCAGAGACCTGTCGTGGCTGTGCCAGGGGGTGTTTTGGGCAGGGCAGTGCCAGCATGCACCCCTGAGAGACAGCCCCCCCGAATCCCAAATCCAGAAGGCAGCCACAGAGCCAGAGAGGAGGCTGGAGGGCTTGTGACTGCAGCATCCCCCCCCACACCTCTCGCAGGTGATGCAGCACACCTGGATCGAGGGCAATTCCCCCGTCAAGTGTGACCGGTGCCACAAGAGCATCAAGTGCTACCAGGGCATCACCGGCCTGCACTGCGTCTGGTGCCAAGTCACTGTGAGTGGGCAGGGGCAAGGCGGGCTGGGGGGGGGCTGTGCCATGCCTACACCCCCGTGACACCGCTCCCTGCCCCCCAGCTCCACAACAAATGCGCCTCTCACGTGAAGCCGGAGTGCGACGGGGGCCCGCTGCGGGACCACATCCTGCTGCCTTCCTACATCTGCCCGGCGGTCCTGGTACGTGGCCCCTCGCCCAGCCCGCTGCCCTGGCCCCACGGCCTCCCCACCCACCCCTCGCCCCGTCCCCCAGGAGCGGCAGTCCCACTGCCGGAGGTCTGAGAGCGATTCCCCCGCCGGCACCAGCCCTGAGGACAGCCAGAGCTTCAAGTTCAACGCCACCACGGCGGATGGGCAAGGTCTGCAGGTAGGGTCCGGCACCGGGCCACGGGCAGCCCTGCCGGGCCAGGCCCTGTGGGGGCCAGGCGTTTGCAGCCTTCGTGCTTTCTTTCTGCCTTGCAGATCAGCCCCAGGCCCGGGACGCACCCCCTGCTGGTGTTTGTGAACCCCAAGAGCGGAGGAAGGCAAGGGGAGCGGTAGGTGTGCCCCTGTTTGGGGACGGCATCCCTCCCTGGCCCCACCGCCGGGGTCTGTGTCTCGTTGGGGTGCCCCAGCCGCCAGCTGTGGACCCTCCTCTGTGGCATCCCTCGCTCTCTCTCTTTCCCCAGGGTCCTCCGAAAGTTTCACTACCTGCTCAACCCGCGGCAGGTGTACAACCTGGACCGTGGCGGCCCCACTCCCGGGTACGGAGGTGCCGCGGCCACCGGCAGCCACCCCAACCCTACCCCGGCACCCCCCTGCCCTGCTCCGTGACCGCCTTTCTCTCTTCGCCCCGTCCAGGCTGAGCTTTTTCCGGGACACTCCGGATTTCCGCATCCTGGCCTGCGGAGGGGATGGCACCGTGGGCTGGATCCTGGACTGCATAGGTGAGCAAGCAGCGGGGACACTGTCTGACACCTTGCCTGGCTCCTGCAGGGCGTCCATCCCTGTATCCCCCACAAGAGCTGTGCCTGGGCCCTGCCACCCCAAAAAGCTCCTGGGCTCTGCTGGCGTGAGGAGGGACATCAAGAGGAGCAGGGAACGAGCCCAGCCCGGGCGCTGCCCCTCCAGCGCTGCCCCAGCTCTCTTTCTCCTTGCTCTGCAGACAAGGCGAACCTGCTGAAGCACCCGCCGGTGGCTGTGCTGCCCCTGGGGACAGGCAATGACCTGGCCAGGTGCCTGCGCTGGGGAGGAGGTGAGGCTGTGCCAGCGTTGCCCTGGGGGGATCCAGCCCAGGGGTGACCCCCATGTGCCCACGGGGTGCCATCGCGGGGCAGCACCTCGCTGGTGCCCCCCACCACCTCCAGAAGCACGCAGCACGGCTCTGCTCCCCTTTGCCCTCCTCCACCCTCCTCCAAGGCCTCTTCTGTCCTGTCCAGGCTACGAAGGAGGCAGCCTGATGAAGGTCTTGAAGGACATCGAGCACAGCACCGAGGTGATGCTCGACCGCTGGCAGATAGACGTGATTCCCAGCGACAAGGAGGCCAACGGAGACCCCGTCCCGTACAGCATCATCAACAACTACTTCTCTATTGGGGTGGTGAGTAGCAGGGACACCCAAACCAGGCTGGCCAGAGCAGGAGCCCTGCAGAGCTCCCTGGCACAGCCACAGCCCCAAACCTGCCTGGTTCAGGGCTTTTGGGGTGATCCCTCAGCCCCTGGGAAATGCTCCTCAGCTGGAGCGAGGCAACCCAGGATGCCATTTCCCACCACCTGTACCCCCCTGCTCAACCCCAAAATGCTCTGAGGCAGCTAAAAACACCTCTGGTGCCCAGGTAGGGGCCCAGGGGTGCCACCTCTGTGAGGGCACCGCCAGACCCCAGCTCCTCGCTGCACCCAAAGGGACGGGAGCGCCATGCTCCCCAGAGCCCTGTGCCATCGCAGCCAGCCCCAAAAAGCCAAGCTGAGCACAATGTGGGAAAGCAGGAGCAGGGGGCAGGCCTGTGCTCCCCATCACCTCCTCCACTCCAGGGTGCCGGGTGGTGGGCAGGGAGCCTTTGGGTTGCAAATGGCCCCTGAGCTGGGCTCAACCTTGGGCTTCCCCGCGTCCCCCCGCCCTCTCTCGGCAGCATTTCCACTTGGAGCCTCCACGAGGAGGGAAGGAGGCCAAGTGTGCTAATTGTGCCTCGCTTAACAAGCCCATTCAAAGCTCTGCGAGCAGCCCTGGCCGAGGCTGCCCTCTCAGTTACACGGGAAGTGCCCGCAGCAGTCCTGAGCCCCTCTAACAAGCCACCACCTCGTCTGCTTCCAGGGCCCACGTGTGGCTCTGCGGCAGTGCAAGGCACCCTGGTACACCCCCAAAATGTTGTGTGATGGCCTCAGGAGCCTCATCCCAAAGCCAGGCCCCTTTGTCCTGCTGGAGCAGTGCCCAGCTCCGTGCTGGGGCTGCACAGCCTTGGGTGGTGCGAGTGGGGCTGCCCCACAGAGAGCCGCGTGCTGGGGGCAAAGCACTGAGCTCCCGCACCCCATTGCGCACACGGGGAGGGGGGGCTCTATTTCCCAGCCCTCTCACTACCGTGCTGTGGGTATCTCTGCCCTCCTCTCCATGCAGGATGCCTCCATTGCCCACCGCTTCCATGTGATGCGAGAAAAGCACCCTGAGAAATTCAACAGCAGGTAAGTGCTGCCTGGCTGCCCTGCCACCGCCGTGGGGCTGCCCGGGGTCCCCTGGCACTGAGGGGATGTGCCGGAGCCCCCTCCCCTCCCACCACCTCTCTCAGGCTCCTCTCGCCCCTCTCCCCGTGGGATGGGGCAGTTCACATGGCAGGCTGCTCAAACTTGGCGGCGCGTCTGCCTGCGTTCATCACGCTTTGTAATTAGCGAGGAATTCAGGACCAGCAGGAGCAGGCTGTGCGGCGAGGGCAGGGCAGGGAGCAGGTCACGGCTAGCCACAGTCCTGCCAGAGCTTCACACAAGTGGCTCCGCTGGGGGAGGCCAGGGGAGGCCGGGGTGGCTCACGTCCCCACTGTGGTGGCTCCAAAAGGGTCTTGCAGCCCCTCTCGCTGCCACTTGTGGGGCTGGGGGGGAGCTGCCGCCCCCAAGGAGGATGCTCTCGCTGCTCCTTGCACCCCAGGATGAAGAACAAGCTGTGGTACTTCGAGTTCGGCACGTCAGAAACTTTCGCTGCCACCTGCAAGAAGCTCCACGACTATGTCGAGGTGGAGGTGAGTTTCCAGGAAGGGGCCTGGCTCCGTCTGGGAAGATGTTTTTTTGGGGAGGTTTCGCCGAGGTCTCTCAGTCGCTGTCCTTGGAGCTTCGGGGAAAGGGTGACAGCTCTGACACCCCGGGGTGGTGGCAGGACCTGGGTGTCCCCCTGTGGGACAGGCGTGTACAACGCCCAAACCTCTGCAGCCAGGCTGATAACGATCAAAATAATTAATTAATCAAATAATTAACGATTAAATTACCAAAGAGCAGGAGCAAGAGTTGCCGCTTGTCCAAGCTGAAGCATCTCACAGACCTGCCACCCACCTCAGCAGCTCCCTGTGCCGAAGTCCCCTCGTCCCCTGCCCTCTTTGCTGGCACACCGAGGGAGCAGCCCTCAGTGCTCCCCGTGGGATGTGCTCAGCGGCAGCGTGTTGGGGAGGGTCTCCTGGGGCCGGGCACATCCAGGGGAGAATTTTGTTAAAGTCTGTGCGTCGGCGAGGCGGCTGCTCTGCAAACACAGCCCGCAGCTCCAGCGAGGAGCTCGCTGCAAGGCCAGCCAGCTGCAGGCAGAAGAATAGCCCTGTATTTTTCCCCTTCCAGCTGAATTTGAGAGTGTGCCTGGAATATTCTCTCTGTAAACTCCGTGTCTGCTCACAGCCGTCTTTGGATTACATGGAAACAGCCTTTAATTAGAGGAGGGAGGAGGGACCGCTGCGTGCCAGCGGTTGCTAAGAGCTCTGTCATTTTGCAGTTTGCATTGGTGGGGTTTGTGCTGGGCTTTGCTGCAAACTTCCGGCTCGCCTTATCTCTGCATAAATGCCCCCTTTTAGAACTGATTCTCGAGGGCTACAGAAAAAAAAAAAAAAAAAAAAGGAGAAAAAAAAAGAAGAAAAAAAAAACACAACTGGCTGCGCTGCACACGGAGCTGTTAGTGAGCGTGGCATGGGCATCCCGGGCAGCCAGGAGAGCTGCTGAGTGCGAGGAGTGTGTGAAGAGAGGTTTCAAAGCCTGTGTCTACACGGGGAGCTCCAGCCCCTCCGAAATCCCGCAGGGCTCCAGCTCTGCCCTCCAGATGAGATGGGGCAGGAGCTCCTGCCCTGCGCTGCCCCATCAGCTGCTAGCGCCACGCACGCGGGTGCCCAGGAGGGTGAGACCCCAGCCCCAGGGCTGGGGGCTGCTGGAGGATGCCCCCAGTACCCCTGCCGTGCCGGCAGGAAAGCGTTAACCCAGCAGCTTTTTAAGTTGAAAGTAGCAGCAGCCCGTCCTCCCTCCAGCTCCGAGGCAACTGTCATCCGTGCAGAGAAATGGCAGTTTTGTTTTGGAAATTGGCACTCGCTGCGGTACAGCTCCTGGAAATGAATTTGCTTTTTCCCCAGCTGCAAATTTCTACTTCCAGCGTCGCTGCCAGCACGCCGTCAGCTGCCCCAGCTCAAAGAGCCCATTGTAGCACGCTGGCATGCAAACAGAGGAGGGCTGCAGAGGGAGAAACTGCTCCTGCTCGCTGGCCCCGTGCCAGGGTGCGGGTGTGCGGCAGCGTGCCCGTGCCCGCAGCCCCCCGGGACTGCACCCCCAAGTCCCTCGATGGGCTCGTGGAGGTGCCGCTGCGGGCGAGGTGCTCAAAGCCCACAGGAATTAACGCCTGGGGTCGGGGAGGGGGCAAGGCTCTGCCCAGACAGAGCACGGGGTGCATCATCCGCAGCGCCACGAGGAATCGCAGGCCGCTTGCTCAGCGTCCGCTGCTCGAAGCCTCAGTCCCACAAGTCATGGTGTTATTAAAATGTGCTGGGAACTAAGTGAAACCCAGCCTCGGAGAGACATTTTTTTGCAAACCATCAGATGATTCCTGCCTTTTACTTTCACGGCGAGGCAAAAAATAAGATCACTGACACGAGGGGAGGCAGAGGAGATCTGAACAGAGATGCTCGTTTGTGTGTGCGCCCATCTCTGCTGGCCAGCAAGCTCAGCTACTGAGGAGTGCTTATAGAAAGTGTATTAAAAATAAGCTTGAAACCTTCACTCAGCTCAAGCAAAACAACAGGAGTCAAAGCAGCAACGGGGTTTTATCAGCCAACTCACATTCCTCTTGGCAGAGCAACACAGGGAGCAGAAATTCCTTCACATCACCAAAACACAGGGAAAATGTGCCGGTGTTTGCTGAAGTGTAGCCTAGCAGGTAGGGAGCAGATGCTTGGAAAGAAATACAGATGCTTCAAGGAAAATACAGATGCTCCAGCGAAAATGGAGTTGAAAGTGAGAGACGGCTGCTTCCTACGGCAGCCCTGACTTCAGAGGGGTGCAGACAGAAGAGCTCTTGTTTCTTCAGACCTAAGGCTCCATCCTCCCTGGTGGAGGACGAGGTGAACGCCGTGTGCTGGGCGTCCTGAACGCAAGACCTGCAGTGAAGGCTGCGTTGCCACATCTGCTGCCCCCATCCATGCAGGGCAGCCACAGCCACCAGATATTTCACCCTTTTTAGGGCGCTCTCAAATCCATCGGTCCTGCCGTGTGAGTGTGAAGTGCCGGACACCAGCCCGTGCACCAAACCGGACATTTTTCCTCCGTCATCTTTCTTGTAATCCCCTCCCAGAGTCATTTCTAGTTCCCGACAAGGCGAACGGTTTGGAGTTAGCCACACTCTGGGGTTTGCAGAGCTCAGGTGGGGCAGGGGGAAGGGGGAGGCTCATGCTGGAGAAGCTCACCAGGTTTTTGTGAGGCCGGGCTGGTCCTGCTTGCTCAGGTGTCTTGTGTCCGGCAGTGTGACGGGACCCTGCTGGACCTGAGCACCACTTCTTTGGAGGGCATCGCTGTCCTCAACATCCCGAGCATGTACGGCGGCTCCAACCTCTGGGGCGAGACCAAGAAGCAGCGCGGCTACAACCGGGTGAGCAAGAAGGCGCCGGAGAAGCTGCACGCCACGGTGGTCACTGATGCCAAGGAGCTCAAGTTCTGTGCACAGGGTGAGTGGGGGGAGTCCCAGGGGGGCCCAGGGAGGGCTCCCTGTGAGCTGGGGAGGGCAGGGGGCTCTGCCCACCCTGGCCTCACTTCTCCAGGTCTGCTGCTGCGCCCCGGCCACCTTCTCACAGCTTCTGCCTTGTTACACCCAGCACCGATGTGCAATGGGCTGGTGGGGGGTCCATGCTGGGACCTGGGTGCTGTTCCAGGCAGGGAGATTTACACTCTTGAGATTTTGTGGGAGCTGCCTGCCCGACACGGGGCACTGAGCCTATCGGCTGGGGGGGCTCGGGTGAGCTTGGGGGGACAGGCTGTGTGCGGGAGCGCTCAGGCCACCCATGAATGACAGCCAGACGGGTTCAGGCTGGAGAGCTCAGACTCGGACGGTTTCCTGGGCCGGAGGCAGCCTGCCAAACCCGGGGGACAAAGCAGGAGCTTTGCTGCGGGCTCTGCTCTGGAGCCAGCCCCGGTATTTTGCTGCTGTAGGCAGACGGCTGGCTGTGCCCTCCTCCGGCCAGCGCTGCCTGCTCACAGTCCCGCTCCAGAGGGGGGCTTTTTGGCACTGGGCTTGATGTTAAATCACTTTGAAAAAATGAGCACGCTCTCACGAGCCACCTCGGGAGCAGCCCTGGGTCTGGTGCTGCCCCAGGGCCCCACCGTCAGCCAGACGAGGCGTGGAGGGGATGCCCCAAGCAGGGACGCAGGAATGGGACAGTTCGACCCCATCTCATGTCCCTCTCTTGCAGACCTCAGCGACCACCTGCTGGAGGTGGTGGGGCTGGAGGGCGCGATGGAGATGGGGCAGATCTACACGGGGCTGAAGAGCGCAGGAAGGAGGCTGGCCCAGTGCTCGTCTGTCACCATCAGGTATTTGTCCCTGTCCTGGCAGAGCGCCCAGCGGGCAGCAAAAGCTGGCACCTGCGTGACCCTGTGCTCTCTCTTGCAGGACCTCCAAGCTGCTGCCCATGCAGGTGGACGGCGAGCCCTGGATGCAGCCCCCCTGCACTGTGAGTCCCTGGGGAAGGGGCGGTGGGGCTGGGGGTGGCTCAGCTCCCGGGGCTTGGTGCAGGGAGGCTCCGTGCCCCTGCTCCTGGGTGCTGAGCTGCTTCTTTCCAGGCTGGCTGGGGTTGCTCTGTGGGGCCCCCGAGTCAGGGGATGCTCGGTGCCCGGCCAGAGCATGACTCACCCCTCAGCTGGTTGGGAGCTGCTCGCCGATCTGTGCTCTTCGTTTATTTTTAGGTCAAAATTACACATAAAAGCCAAGTGCCGATGCTGCTGGGCCCTCCCCAGAAGAGCAGCTTCTTTTTCCTGAAGAGGAGAAACCGAACTCGAGATTAACCCGTGTGCAAGGAGCTGCAGTCCAGAGGCACCCGGATGGCCCAGGGCTGGCAACCTTCATCTCCGCGCCTCTCCTGACCCCTCTCTCTGCTTTGGAAACGCCGCCTTGGAAAGCAGACCCAGGCTGCGAGGGGCAGGAGGGGCTCCCACTCACTCCCAGCCCCCACGCCGCGGTGGGGGGACGAAGCCACCCCAGCCCTGTGGGGATGCTTTGCCCTGGGAGGGGCTCAGCAGCTCCTTCCCAGCCACCACGGGCGTTTTCTGCAGCCGGGAGCGAAGCGATGGGCACAGGCAGGCGGGCGTGCAAGGAGCACGTTGGCTGGAGCAGCGCTAGGACTGTTTTTTTTTCTTTTTTTCCCTTAATTTAAATAACTGCCCCCTTCCTCCCGCAGAGCTGCAAACGAACGTGCTCCTGAGGAAAAAAGCCAAGCTTCACTTATTTATTTGTAACCCTCCCGAAGGACACTTGGTGTTTTGCTGCACTGGCTTTCTGTCCACCAGACCTGCGCATCCGAGAAGTTATTTATTTTCGTAGCCCAGGGGAGATGGCATCCTGACCCCTGCTTCCCTCGCTGCCACCAGAGCAGGCTTTCCATGCCTTCGGCTAGCTTTTTCTGGGCTGTTTTGAAGCAGATGCAAATGCAGTGTTCGCTCTCAGCCCTGGAAGCTGCTTCAGAGAGCACAGCCTGTGGGGCAGGTTGTGCAGGGATAGACCTTGTTTGGGACCTGGGATGAGCCCAGGGCAGAGAAAAGGAGCGGGCGCTGGGGTGTGGGAATGGCCAGGAAGGACCCCCTGGGGAGCTGCCAGCCCCCAGCAAACCCCAGCTCCGGGTTGGACTTTGCGTCTGGGTTTGTATTTATGTATTTATTTAACATGCTTGGGGTGGGGGGAGGCTCCAGGGGTCGCTTCCCTTTTACGAGGTGAGGTTGGACACAAATGCCACCCCTTTTCTTGTTGACCATCCTGCCAGTGCTGCATATGTGGCACCTCCTGCCTCTTTTGGGGTGGCTCGATGGGGAGCCCCAAACCTCCCAGCCCGTGCAGGGGGCTGGGGACAGGTGCTCGGCAGCTCCTCGCCCTGGGAAGTGTCCCCTTTTTGCACGTCCCCAGCTGCTTTGCCAGGACAGTGCACTCCCAGAGGGGACCAACGCTGGGTCCAATGCTTGGACACTGCTGGGTCACTGCGAGGAGCAGCGGGAGCAGCCGGCCATCGGTTTTGTCACAACCACGCCAAAGCCAAGGACGCAGACCTGAGACCCAGCTCTTCTCCCAGGACACAACAGGGACGGAGCAGCGGACACGGTCACGGAGGATGCCGTGGTCTGGGTGCATTCCCTGGCTCACAGCAGCAGGACCAAAGCCCAGCAAGGCTTGCTGCCTCTCCTGCAGGCACCAGCTGCCCTGCACAGTGGAACGTGGCTCCCAAATCAGCCTCCCCTCCCCAGCAGCTCCCCCGTGCCCAGTGGGGTGCCCTGCTCTGCTGCCATCGTTACGTTTCAGAGTTAACAGCGAGCTGAAAGGGAGTCGTTCGTCATCCTCCTTGGGTACAGACACGGTGGCTGCAGGTCCTGTGCAAGGCCCTGGGTAGGAAGCGATGTCCAAGGGCAGCGGCCAGCGCACACGAGCGTGTCCCCCGCAGCTTGTAAATGTGCCCCCCCCTCTCCCCTTTGCCAGGGCGGCCGTTAATGAGTAGCCAGGTGGCGGTGTGCGGGATGCGCGCCAAAATAAACCCCAGTTCTCATGAAAGCGCAGCCTCCGTTTCTCCATGCCCCTCCTTGATGTTATCTGGGAATCTCAACGCTGGCATCTGGGGAGGATTAAATCAAAAAACAAGAGAAGAAAAAAAATAAAATCCAAACCTCCGCCGGCAGCCTGGGCAACAGGGGCTCTGCTTGGTGTGACAAGACGTGAGATCGGGGCCATTTGGAGCAGCAGATTTGGCTCCTTTTCCCCGCCCGCTGGGCCTGGACCTGTTGTTTGTGCCGTGGCTTTGTGCCTGGAGGAGAGCAGCAGGTTTTTTCTCCGCAGACCTGATCCTTGCACCCGGTCCCGCTTCACTGGGCTCACGCTCCGGGCAAAGAGCAGCACGCGGGCCGTCTGCTGGGCCCTTGTGCTGGTGGTGGCAGCGGAGCCGAGGCAGCGGTGCTCTTTTGGCTCCTGTGCCCCACAGGACATGACAAACCCCTCCGTGTCACTGCGATGGTGACGCACCAGCACTGGCCCACTAGGGCTCTGCTGGGGACGTCTCTCCTGGTGGCAGCGAGGCGCACGGCGGCGCTCCTGGGGTGTGTGTGAGCCCCAAACCTGCCACCTCCTCCATGGGACGAAGGCTTGGGTCTGCCCCCACTTTTGGGAAAGCAAAGGGGCCGTGCCCCACCAAGGGCACCCAGGTGGCAGGATTTCCTGCGGCACGACAGAGCCGCACAGCCCAGCTGTGTTAGTTGGGAGGTGCGATGGGCTCAATTTGGAGCCTGTGATTTGTTGTGGGGTTTGTTTGTTTGTTTCCTGAGTAGGTTCTAAATTTAGCAGGCACTGCTCACCATCCCTCTCTCGATCGGGGCTGCCTGGCCGCTTCAGCTTTTCCCAAGGCACCACGAGGAGAGCCCAGGGCACCCTGGCACCTGGCCCTGCTCGGGTGCAGCCTGGAGGGAAGGGCAGGGCCAGGTGGGTCCCCAGGAGCACCCCACACACGTTTCCCCAGCACGCAGGCACCTCGCTGCTGGGGCATCGTGGCAGTTCCTCCATTCCACGCAGGGCACGGCACAAGATGAAGTGCCTGCAGCTCCCAGCATCATCCCTGGGGAGCAGTGGTGGCCCTAGAGAATTCCAGAAGCTCCCCACTATACCAACAGCCACACAAAAAAAATCCTGAGATGTGCTAGGCAGCCATCCTGAAGCACCCATAACCCCATGACCCCCTGAGGATTTCAAAGCAGCCAGGGCCATGCCATGCAGAGAGGCTCCCAAAGGTCTGGGCACCCTTCTGGGATGCAAGCAGGAGGCTCCACTCCTCCCCAGTCCAGTGGGATGGCAACTGCTGAGCTCTCCCTCCATTTATCCTTCCTCATCGATAGGGGCTTGTCTCAGCCTTGCTCTGCAACAACAGCAGAGCCTCACACAGGTCGTGGAGCGTGGCAGCAGATTGCTGTGCAACCGGCTGCAGGGAGATGGGGAAACTGAGGCACCTGACCGGGAAATGCTGCGGTGGGGATATGGGCAACCCACAGCTGCCAGACTGCCGAGCTCCTGGCAATCCCAGGAGGGCTGTGTGAGAGCTGCAGGCCTGTTTGGCAAGGGGACATTGACCCACTTGCAGAGAAACCTTCTCTCCTGGGTGCCCCTGCTCCTGCCCTGCCCCCCCCACAGCCCCAGAGCCCACCCGGGTGGGAACTGCTCCCCACCAGACCCTCCAAAGGCTCCTTTCCAAAGGCAGCCTCAGCTGCAGGCTGCCTGGAGGGGAAAAAAAAAAGCAAAAGCGGGCAGACGGAGTGGCTCAGGCCAGGCACACAGGAGGGGGCTATTAGGGACCCCCCTCCTGCAGGCAGAGCCCCCCCGGCACAGCCTCCCCACCACTATGCGGGGGTCCCACAGGCAGCGTGAGGCCTGCAGCCCACCCAACCGCAGGGCTGCGCGGCAGGTGCTCAGGCACGAGGTTCCGGCCATCGGGCTGCCCCCCCCCAGCCCCCTATAACCCCTCCCCGTGCCCCCTTTCGGCCCCCCCTAGGGGCAGGCGGCGGCCCCTTTAAGAGCCGAGCTGCCCCCGCCCCGCCCTCCGGCCCCTTCCCCCCCGTTTCTATTTTTTTATGAATGAAAAACGGCCTCGGCGGGGCCACGCCGAGCGCGCCGCGCCCATTGGCTGCCGCGCGCCCCTCCCACCCCGCCGGCCTCAATGGGGCCCTGGGAGCGCCGAGGGGGCGGGCTCTCGGACTCCATTCGACCAATCGGAAGGCGGGGAAGCCGGGGCGGCGGCTCCCCATTGGGCGGTGCCGAGGGTAAACAAGCGGCGCTGGGCGGGGCGCGGCGGGGGCCGCTGGCTCGGGGGCTGGGGGCCGGCGCAGAGCGGCAGCGCGGTGCCCGCTGCTGCCCGGGCGTGGAGCGGCGCTTCCCGAGGCTCAGCCCGGTGCTGGGTGCCCGGTCCCGGCCGTGCCTGCAGCGGGTGAGCCCCCCCCCCCCAGCACGGCTCCGCGGGGCCCGGCCCGGTGCGGGGCGGGGGCGGTGTTTATGAATGGCGCGGGGTGAATGGAGGGGGGGGAGGAGGTTGGGGGGGGTGGGGGGGGGAGGAGGAGGAAGGGGGAAGGGGGAAGGAAGGGGGAAGGAAGGGGGAAGGGGGGGGGCGGAGTTTATGAATGGGGCGGCGTGGGAACGGGCCCGGCTGCGGTGCGGCCCTGCAGCGCCGAGCACCGGCGGGGCGCGGGGGGGGGCAACGGGGGGGAGCGAGCGGCGGAGCTGGGAGCTGGGAGCTGGGAGCTGGGGGCTGGGGGCTGGGGGCTGGGGGCTGGGGGCCGCCTGCTCGCGGCGCCTGGTGGCACGGCGGGCTCCATAGAAATCCGCTGACATCACGACGGGGGGCCCGCAGCGGCCCCCGGCCAGCCCCGGGGGCGGCAGAGCTCGGGGACGGGTCCTGAGATCTCCGCTTCCCCCCCCAACCCCACCCCACCCCACCCCACCCGCCCCCTTACCCCGCAGCCTCGCACCTGCCGGAGCCCAGGCGGGAGCCCCCTTCCCGGGCTGCTGTCGATGCTGAGCGTGCCGGGGGCTCTGTCCGCCTGCCCCGCACCATGGATGGCTTCTACGACCAGCAGGTTCCCTTCATGGGCCCCGGGGTAAGTTTGCCCCGTGCCCCCTTTTTCCCGGTTCCTGGGGGTTCCCGTGGCCGCCCCCTTCCCGAGCCGCTCACGCCCTGGTCCTTGCAGAAGTCGTGCACCGAGGAGGGCCGAGGCCGCCTGGGGTCCGACAGGAAAAGGAAGTTTTTGGAGACCGACCTGGCCCACGACTCGGAAGGTGAGCGGGGCTGCCAGCGGGTCCCTGTGCCCTCGCTGGGTCCTGAGGAGCCGGCTCTCCTTGGGCCTGTTGGCTTAGAGAGAGAATTGGGCAAATAGCGGCCCTTTTATTTATTTTTCTGTCGAGTGCCTGAGTCTTTCACTCTGTTCCAGAGCTCTTCCAGGATCTCAGCCAGCTCCAAGAGGCCTGGCTAGCTGAAGGCAAGTCTTCACCTCCGCCTTTTGCCATGTCAAATCTGTGCGCGAGCATTTCTTGAGGACCGAAAGTGCTATCAAACCTTTATTTTTTAATTTTTTAGCTCAGGTCCCCGACGACGAACAATTTGTCCCAGATTTCCAGTCTGACAACTGTAAGTACTGCTTACGGCTTTTGTTCTCGGGGGTGGAAGCGTTGAGGTGCCTGTGCAAAACGTCGCGCTTGCTTTGGGGTCGCTTCCTTGGGGAGTGGCTGCTGCCGAATCTGAAACCCCGAAGCTCTCTGCCTTTGGGGAGAAAGCACGTGTGTGTGTGTGCTGCTTGGGCTCACGAAGACAAGGCTCACAGTTCCCTGCGTCTCATAACGGGGAAAACTACAGCCAACCGCATGGAAATATCTCTAACTGATCTCTGGGCTCCTCTGAGACTCGCTGCTTGTTCCTAGTAACGGTGATTTGCTTATAAATGCTGCTTTTCCTTTTCAAGTGGATGGGAGAGCCCGTGCTGGGCTTGTTGGTTAGCCACAATCTCTGCAGTTTCTGGAGCTTTTTGCAGTCCTGGCCTAGCGCTGTTGGCAAGAGCAGACCTGAGCGGTGAAACTTGAGCTGCTTTAAGCAGCATTAATCTCTGGCAAGCAAGCACGTTTAAAAAAGGAGGCCAGTGAAAATGCAGTCCCTCTTGAATTGCATAATAGAGAGCGAGCTTTTTCCTAGTCGTGGTTCATTGCCCAAACCAGTCAGCGGCCGGGGCAGGGGCTGGTGTGCAGTTAATGGTGTGTGGGGCTTGCACCAGGCTCGGTGCCGACAGTCCTGGCGCTGAGGGCTGGAGGGGGGTCGGGATGTGTTGGGTTGTTACCTGGAGAGCAGAAGTGGCAGCCTAGCGTTCCTAGCTGCCTTCTGCTGCTGAACCAGACAGCCGCAGAACTTAAAGGAAATCAAATTTAGCCTGCAGTCGAACAGATTTCTCATTCCAGCTTTGTCACAGCATGCAGCAGAGTATCTTATACTACAGTAAACGCATGTTAATTATTGCCCTTTGATTACTTCTGAGTGGGAAGCTTGCCATTAAACTGTTCCAGACAGCCCAAGTTTCAGATGCGCTTTTTTTTTTTTTTCTCCCCCCCCTTCTCCCCTGAGATAAAAGGCAAGCCCGGAGTCAGAAACGCGGCTCGCTGTTGACATCCTGGTGCAGCCCGTCAGCTCTTGCTCGGAGCAGTGCAAACTGCAGCGTGCGTGGGAGGGCGGCTCGGAGAGCTGGAGCTGTTTCCAGTGCCTTTTGGCAGTCTCTTGTTTCCTTGTAACCTGAAGAGCTCAGAGAGAGGAGACAAACTTTTCTGGGCGATGCAGGGAGGGAAAAGCATTTGGTCGAGGCTTTTAAACGGTCTTTTAACCTGCTCGGCCTCTGCAGCCCCGGTGTTGAGGTGATGATGTCGCTTGGAAGGCGATGTCCCTGCGTGACTTCCCGCTCCGATAACCTTCCTGAACTCTCCTGGGGAGATAAAGCAGAGCTTTCTCTTGCTGTTGGGCTGGGCTCGGGGGGTTTGGCTGAGTGCTCCTGCACACAGAGGCTTGTGGGGCTCGACAGCAGCTCCTGGGGGGCACGGTGGTGCCCTGCCTGGGAGATGGGGAGCCCAGCTCCTCCGTGGAGTCCCCAACCAGTGCTACAGCTCAGGGGGTGACAGTGCTTGAGAGCACCTGCAGTGGGGGAACCGCAAGGGACGGGTCCTGCTCAGCTCTGAGCCTGTGGCCCACGTGTGCTGGGCCAGGTCCTGGTGGCGCTCCGAGCTGCAGCCCTGCTCTTACCCTGCTGAGCCCCCACGTAGCGTGCTGGCCGCCTGCTCACAGGTTGGGGCTTTCTGCAGAAAATGTGTCCATGTGGATGGGGAAAGCAGGGCTCCTCTGAATAAAGTGTGTGTTGTCCTCGGTGCCCTTGGTGGAGCCGCGAGAGGCTGGGTTTGGTGCTTTTTAAGCCACCCAGGAGATATGGGACTCCCTAGAGCTGCCGTCTGGGTATCCAGGGGGCATCCAGGCAGAGGGGCAGCTCCCGTTCCTGGTGGGGTAATTTCCCTGGTGGGGACAGGCACAGTGCTGGAGAAGCAGATTCTCCTGCAAGGATGGGCGAGCTGTGCGTGCCACCCACCTCCCTGGCCAGGTGTAGGGCTAACACGTCCTGTGTCCCTTGTCCTCTGTCCTGTGTCCCTTGTCCTCGTGCCCTGGCGAGAAGAATATGTGCATGGTGTAGTATCTTGATCAGTTGTTAAAATAACCAGGGAGAGATAGGATTGTGTTGTGGAAAGCAAGCATTGAGAGGCGCTTTTTTTCCCCTGCAGGCACAAGGTGTGAAGGTCTTGAAGGGTGTCCCTAGTTTTTCTGGGGGGAGAGGCTGGTCCCTGGGGACTTTTTCCCCCCTGCTGGGATGGTTTGCAGCTAAAGTCGTGAGCAGGGCGTGGAGTGGGTTTTCGTACATGCCAAAATTAAAGAAGGAGGCTTGTTTCCGAGGAAGGATTGTTTAAACAAAGGAAAGCAGGAGCACAGCTTCTATTTCTGGCTCCTCTCCTGGCGTGACCTTGGGTGCGTCCTGCTCCAGCGGTGCCTGGCGTGATGGGACACGGGGGCTGCCAGAGTTTGGTGCCCATGGCAATGGCTGGAGTGGGTGCCGAGGTCCCCGAGCTGGTGGCTGTGCTGGGAGTGGGGCTTCGGTCACTTCCCCTCTCCGTGGGCAGCGGGTGCTTGCAGCAGCAGAGCTGCTGTCCTCGAAGCTCACCGCATGCCATCCAAATCAGGCCTCAAGGCTCAAAGCCCTGGCAGCCCCAAACAGCTTTGGGGTGTCCCCTTTACGTGGCCAAGTCCCGGAACGGGCGAGCCTCTGTGCTGCTCCCTCCGTTGGCTTTTTTAGCTTTTAATTACAGCAAGGAGCGGAGGAACCAAGAGGTTCGGAGCGCTTGTGCTCCTGCCGTGCCTTTGCGGCACCGGCTGCTGGGGCAGGGTGTACCTTTCCCACTCAGCACCTGGAAAACCGAGGTCAATTGTGGCACGTTCTTCCTTGCCAGCAAGGAACCGAAACCCAAATCCCAGGCCCTGTGGGCTGCTCGGACTCTGGGGCAGGAGAGCAGCAGGGCCGGGGACCCAAAGGCAGCTCGGTGCGAGCCGTGGCTGCGTGACGCTTTCCCCGAGCGGCCGCCCGCATTTATTTTGTCTTTCTCCTCGCTCCCTGCTCTCGCCGAAGGGCGTTCCGGCCCCAGCGCCTTGCACAATCGCCTGGGCTTTGAATGAACTTGGCGGAAAGGCAGCGTGGTGAGGAGCAGCGCAGGCCAGCCCCGCGGTGTTTGTGTAAGGAATCCAAACGTTGCACAAAGTCCGGGCCGCTCGGCGCAGCCAGCTGGTCTCTGTTATGATCTGAAGGATCGTTTCCCTTTTCTTGAATGGCAGCGCTAAGCTCTGGGGAAATTTTTCTTTCTTTCTGTCTTTTTTTTTTTTTTTTTCCCCAACCGCATGAATGGAGCGCTCCAAATTGTTTGTGAATGGAGGGTGGTGCCCGCTCCGAGAGTTTTTTTTTTTTTTTTTTTTTTTTTCCTTCAATGAATAACCAGACCCCATTGTGCGGCTGGCGGAAAAACAACCCTGCTCGAACAACACGGAGCCTGTTAGGGAGAAACATGCCCGTGATAGGCAGCTGGAGCCCTTCCAAAGCAAGTTTCCCCTCTGCTTTCCCGTGCCTCGCGGGGTGCCTGAGCTTCACAGCCTCTGCGCTGGCCCCCGTTAACACCCGAAATGCTCGGGAGCAGCCTGGCCTCGCTCCTGGGGAGGGGCTGGGGGGGGAAATTTGTCTCCGGGGGGGGTTCCAGGGAGCGTAGGGGCTGTGCTTGCTCAGCCTGGGCTTCGTGTTTCAAATACTCCCTGGAGTTTTTTATGCCCTTGGTACCAGCTGTGCTGGGCTGCTTGAGGGGGGGCTGGGGGAGGATCAGCAGCTCTTTAAAGGTTTTGACAAATTAGGGGAGCAGCTAATTACCTGGCAAGCTGTGAACAGTTGTCCTGGAGCTATTCGCTCCTCTCTGGCGTAACTGGGCTGTGTTTAGACTTCTCACGAAGCTAATACTCTACTTCCGACTGGTCTTGGCTCTCCGGTTCAGGCATGGTTTAGGTAAAGATCTCGGCCACGCTTTCCCTTTCCCAGAGCGCCCGCTTTTAGATTTAAGAGGTTAAGCAGTTTATTGCCCCATTTTAAATGCTTATATATATATAGTGAGTGGGCCTGGTGGTGCTGTGGGGCTGGATGTCTTGGAGTTTCACAGCCCGTTTGCCCCTCGGACTCGTAACACCATGGCTCTCCTCCCCTGTGCCCTGGTGGTCCCGGGGCTGTGTCCCCTTGGTCACGAGGCTGCACCCAGGAGATGCGGGGCTGCCAGCTGGCTGCTTGCCGCTCCTCGCCGCAGCTCTGCCCCACTACTTTGGAGCCAAGAGAGCCTGTGCCAGCTTTCCCTGCCTGCATCTCCCACTCAAACCATGAAGCTGCCGAAGGTGGTGGTGGGAACAGAGCTTGGGCTCGTTGCAGACACGGCGTGCAGCAGCTGAGGGGCTGGGCAGAGGGCAGCGTGATGCTGTACGGCCAGGCTCATCGCCCCTCGCGGGAGGGATTTGGGTCTGGGTGCCCTTGCTGTGGGGTTTGTGTGCTGGTGGCACCTCTGCCGTCCCTGCCACCACGGCTTGGTCTGCTGTCACGTATGGGATGGGAGAACATACCTGCAGGGCCTCCAGCCTGCTATGATGTGGTTATCTGATGCTCCTGGCCCCTGAGGCTGTGCATCTGAACCCCCAGCACCCAAGAGGATGCTCCCCAGGGCTGGCAGCACCCATCGCCTGCTCCCGATGCTGGGTCAGAATCCGTGGCGGTGGAACCAGGGCTGGGAACACACAGTGACCGTGTCTTCCTCCTCCTCCTCCTCCTCCTCTCCTCTCTCGTTCCAGTAGTCCTGCACGCCCCACCTCCGGCCAAGATCAAGCGGGAGCTGCACAGCCCTTCCTCGGAGCTGTCGGCCTGCAGCCACGAGCAGGCTCTCTGTGCCAGCTATGGAGACAAGTGCCTCTACAACTGCTGGTAGGTCGCCGGAGGCGAAACCCCTCCAGGCAGCACAGGCTGCTTCTGGCACCCTCTCAGAAGCCCAGCAGATGGGGCTGGGTGGCAGGGAGCATCCCATCAACGTGTGCCCCCCACGGCACTGGATGTCGGCACTGGAGCCGGCAGGAATTTGGGGACCCCCATGGCACTGGGAACAGAGGGGGAGCCCCTTGTGGGTGCAGGGATGGTGAGGGCTGTACTGCGGTTCCCTCGGGGATGACACCCACCCGGCCGCGTTGGCTTTATCACGGAGCCACCAGCACCATCCTCACCGTCCCCTCTTGCCCCCTGCAGTGCCTACGACAGGAAGCCCCCCGCTGGGTTCAAGCCATTAACGCCGCCCGCCACGCCGGTGTCCCCCACGCAGCCGGGATCCTCCCTGCCAGCCCCGGCGGTGCAGGCGGCTGCCCATGGCACCCCAGCGGCCCCGCTCCGCAGCGCTGTGCCCGCCCCGCGCCCGCTGCACGAGCAGAGGCAGCAAACCTTTGCGGTGCCGCGGCCGCCTCACCAGCCCATGCACATGCCAAAGATGATGTCGGAAAACCAATTCCCCGCAGAGCACAGGTAAGGATCGGCGGCCTTCCAGCTGTGGGGAAGGGAGGTGGGACACCCGGCACCTCGGAGTGATTTGGAGAGGGGGATTTTTGGGCGGCAAGGGAGACACCCTGCTTCCCTTCTTCATCAAGCTGTGGCTTCATCCTGTGGCAGTGCCATCGGGGCGTCCCCTCGGGGCCATGCAGTGGGTGCCCAGGACGCGCATCCCTCCCCAAGCAAAGGGGGGCAGCAGCTGGCCCCGGCCCGGAGCTCGGCTCCGGGCGACCTTCGAGCTATGCGGGGGGCTGGCCGTGACCCATCTGGAAGCGCCATACCAGCACGGGGCTTGGGTTTCACTCAGGAAGGGCAGGGGGACGCGGGTCGGAAATGGAGTAATCCCAGCCCGTCAGCTGGGGGGGATCTGGTTACAAAGCCAAATGGCGCGCGGCGGCCCCGAAAGGACCGGGCGCGCGGAGATCGCCTTTCAAGGTGCTGGGCCGGGCAGGGGACGCGGCAGCAGCACCCCCTCGGGATGGTCCCGTACCCCCACGGTAGCACAGAGCCTGGGCGGAGGGCACCGGTGCCTCTGGCTGAAAATAGTGCTCCCACCGCCCCGCGCGAGGTTTAATCCCAGCAGATTAGCGGCCAGCTGGCTCTGCGGCGCTGCGCAGGGGATTTGGCTTTGCGTAAGCGCCTGCAGGGCTGCAGCGTCCTCGGGCCCCGCGGCTCTGCCTCGCCGTGATGCCGCCCCACTGCCTCCCAGGGCTGGGTTTATTTCTAATTATCGGGGGGTTGGTTTTGTTTCCCGTGCTTTTATCCAAGCAGCCTTGGTAAGGTGTGTGTCGGGGGTGCCCCCCGTGCCTTCCTGCTCACCCAGCTGAGGATCCCCATCCCTCAGCTGGGGAACCCATGGCCCTACTGCATGATGCCCCCATCCCAGATGGGTGTCCCACTGGCTGAGCCATCAGCAGTCGCCCCACGCACCCCAGGTGACGCCGTGTCCCTTTTCCCCCAGGTTTCAGAGGCAGATGTCTGAGCCCTGCCACCCCTTCCCGCCGCAGCCTGCTGTCCCCGGGGACGGCCGCCCCGTCTACCACCAGCAGCTGTCGGAGCCCGTCGGCCCTGCCACCCCCCACCCCGCTCAGGGATTCAAGCAGGAGTACCACGACCCGCTCTATGAGCACGCCGGCCCCAGCCTGCCTGCCCCCCCCGGGCACAGCTTCCAGTCCCCCATGGGCATCAAGCAGGAGCCCAGGGACTACTGCATCGACTCAGGTGGGTGGCAAGCGGGGCAGGCTGTGACGTTGGGTCTGTGCCCCGTGCAGGCAGGGAACAGCGGTGCTGTAGGGTTGTCCTTTTTTTATTTTTCCCCCTCTTTTCTTTAAAAGGGGCGACGCAGGCGTTCCCCAAACGCTGCACGCTGTGACTGTGCGCTCCTGCGTGCAGCAGGGGGGTGTCCCCAGGGCCTGCGCCCACCCTGCTGCAGTTTCTGGTGGCTGGTGCTGAACCCCACCAGCATCACGGAAAATCCTCTAAGCGCCTTAGGGCCTAAAAATACTGTGACCTCAGGCTGGCGGGAGGTGGGTCGGTGCAGCCGAGCAGATGGCAGGGGAGGGAGGCAGCCAGAAACCCCGCGCTGCTCATGGGCTCCTGCTGCCTCCCTTAGCGCGTGGCCCAAATAATTTGGTGGAAACATGCAGTGATGCGGACTGTGCCACCCGTGGTTGTTCAAGTGCCCCCCCCCCCATGTAAATTACACCGTTTTCTCCCCAAAGATAGGTGACATGAGGTGGCACAAGGTGGGGAGGGACAAGATGCCCAGGAGAGAAGGTGCTGGGAGGCTTACCACTGCCTTTTCTCCCTTGCAGAAGTGCCTAACTGCCAGTCCTCGTACATGAGGGGGGGCGTCTTCCCCAGCAGCCACGACGGTGAGTGTGCCTCCTGGCTCGGGGCTGGGAGCTTCGGGATGGGTCACGTCGCCGTGTCCCTCCCCAGCCCTCCATCCTGTCCCTTGCGAGGGCCTTGGCAGGATCTCTCTGTGCCCAGGGCTTTAGGGTTTTCCTTGTGCCAAGCCTCTCCCCCCGGGCAGGGATGGGAGTGGGGTGAGGGCTTGGCTCCTGGGGGCCGTGTGCTGTTGCATCCCCTGGTGCAGGCCAAGTCTCTGGGGCTGATTTAGAGGTGAGAAAGGTTCATGGCCACCCAGTAGCTAAGGACAGGTCCCCAGCAGTGCTGGCAGACCCCGTGGTTCCTCTCCCACCACCCAATGAGGTCTGGCAGAGCCACGGGACACCCCAAAAATACCGGGAGCACCATGTCCCCTGTGAGGGACGTGATCCTCGCGCCCTGGCACCGGGTGTGCGCTGTGAGGGCATGGGAGCAACGTGCCGCCCCGTGTAATCTGGGATAACATGCCCAATATAGCTGCTAAGAGGGTTTTGGTTATTCCAGCTCCTTGGGGTGAGGGGAGGACAGATCTGTGCTGCGCTCAGCTAGCCGGACATGGCAACGAAGCCGACGGCATGGCCAGAAATAACCACGGAGGGGGCAGCTCCCAGCCCTGGGACACCGGGTCTCTGAGCTGGCTTGGGCCAGCCAGGTGTCGTGAGGATGGGGCAGGGGCCCCGTAATAACGGGAGGGCTCTTTCCCCTAGGATTTTCGTATGAAAAGGACACACGATTGTACTTCGATGACACGTGTGTGGTACCGGAGAGACTGGAGGGTAAGCAGCCAGCCAAGGGGCGGCGGGGGCAGGCTCCGCACCCAGGGGTGCCCACAGAGGAGCCGCCGGGTTCAGAGGCCACTCAGCATCACTGCTGTGCCCTGGCCATGCCCTTGGGGCTGAGCACGTCCCCTTGTCCCGGGGCTGAGCCGGCTGTCTCGCTGTGGACAGGTAAGGTGAAGCAGGAGCCCACCCTGTACCGCGAGGGCCCTCCCTACCAGCGGCGGGGGTCCCTGCAGCTCTGGCAGTTCCTCGTCACGCTCCTGGACGACCCCGCCAACGCTCACTTCATCGCCTGGACCGGCCGCGGCATGGAGTTCAAGCTGATCGAGCCCGAGGAGGTATGGGGCGTGTGAGGGGTGGGGGGCAGCCCCTTCCCCACCCACGGGTGGTGCAGAGGAAGAAGCTGCTCGGGAAGCAATTGAAGCAGCTGCGGCACCGAGCCGTGTGCTGTGGGTAATTACCCGTAATGTCTGCTACGCCGTGCATGGAAATTGCGGCGGTGAAGCAGCTTTTCTGGCAGGCTCCCCCAAATCAAACGTCTTTTGATTCAGCCTCTGGTTCCGTGCCGGCTGCGTCGTGGCAGCCGGAACCGCCCGAGTGCTTTCTCGTGCCCATCACCCATGGGCTGGGCTCAGAGGGGCCGGGTGAGGCCATGCCCTGGCTCCAGGCCCTGAGCAGCATCCCGGGGCGGGCAGAGCCTGGGGGTTCAGTTTTCGGGGGGGACCTGTGCCCAGACACAGGCTGGAGCTGTCACGGCTGCGGCCTTTCGCTCTCAGGTGGCGCGGCGCTGGGGTATCCAGAAGAAACCGTCCGGCCATGAACTACGACAAGCTGAGCCGCTCCCTGCGCTACTACTACGAGAAGGGCATCATGCAGAAGGCAAGTGGCCTTGTGCCCACCTAGGGGTGGCCGTCCCCAGCGTCACCCCCCTGTTGGCATGCCACTGGCCCGGCCCAGCCTCTCGTTCCCGGCCCCTGATGCCCATTCTGCTTGCAGGTGGCCGGCGAGCGGTATGTCTACAAGTTCGTGTGCGACCCCGACGCCCTCTTCTCGATGGCCTACCCCGACAATCAGCGCCCCTTCCTGAAAGCGGAGCCCGACTGCCACGTGAACGAGGAGGACACGCTGCCGCTGACGCACTTCGAGGACAGCCCCGCGTACCTGCTGGAGGTGGATCACTGCGGCGGCCTTCCCTACTCGGAGGGCTTCGCCTACTGACTTGGCCGGCCGGCACAGCGACGAGCACTAGCACCCTCCGCTTTGGGCAAATAAGGGCAATGGTTTTGTAAAGAATACTTTTTGCCGTTTCTTATATAACAAAAACCCACACCAACGAAACACAAAAGGAGACGAGAGGCGTGTGCGCACACACAAACTGGCCTTTCCCTGTCAGCGCAATTTGGAGGAAGCGAAAAGCCCCGGTGTGTGTCAGCGCTGAGTCCACAACCTTACTGTCCAAGGGCTAGTGCGTAGGACTGCCCGTGGCTGGCACCTCCCGCCAGGGCATCCCAGAGGTGTTTTGGGGAGAGGGGAGCTAAACACCAAGTCTCTGACCCAGGCCACGTTTCTCATGAGCAAGCGCCGGCCGATGGCTTCGGCAGCGCCCGTGAGACTGGTCTAGACGGTGTGACTGTGTAGCGAATTGTCACGACAATCTGCTTTGCAATCGATCACAATATGCGTAGCTGCCTTGTGTGTTGGAAAGGGCTTCGATTTGCACAGGCGAGGGGTTGTCTGGGGGGGCTCGGGCTGGGGGCACACGTGCCCGTGCCCCAGGGCTGATGTGCATGGTGTCCCACCCCGAGCTGGAGCAGCCTTCTGCCTTCTTCCTGGACAACACCTCCCCGCCCCACCTCGTTCCCCTCGAGTGTTGCTCTCCCATGTAACAGTCCCTTAGCCTGCCCCCCCCCCCCCTCTTTCCTGGGACCTCCTCAATTCTCTTCCCCAGCTCAGGCTCTGTGCGATGGGTTTAATTTCAGGGGAGGAGATCATGACACTATCTATCTTCCTCCCCCCCCCCCTTTTTTTTTTTTTTTTGGAATGTTTTAGGAAAAAAAATCTAAACTTTTTTTTTTTCTGTAGAATTTTTTTGTATTTTAAGGCAAAGCTATTTTCTGCAGCCCTGCTGCTGTGCCCTGGGGCAGCTGGCAGTGCATGGGGAGCTACCCCGGCTGCCCCCAGCCGTGTACGTGCCCCCACGGCACTGAAGTTTCTGGTCCACTCCATTTCACTGCTCGAGTCCTTGCTCCTGGGGGGCGTCCAAGACTGAAAGGGCAAGAGCTCAGCCTCATTCCCTTCTGAGCACAGTGGGGCTGGGCTGTGGGGCCCCCCTACCCACTGCAGCTCCCCACACTCCTCCACCTCTCATATACGCATAACCCCACCAGCTACATGTTTTTGTTGTAAATGCTGTATAGGAATTTTTTTCTCCTCCTTAGTTAGCTTTGTTTGGATTTTTTTTTTGGACTGAGTCATTCTTTTTTTTTTTTTTTTTTTTTTTTTTTTTTTCGGGGAAGTATGAAGATTAACCCCCAGTAGGCTTGGTTGCTATCCCTGTGATGTACAAGGTGCCCGTGCCATCGGGAAGCATTGGATCGCGGGAGCCGCACCTTGGGGACAGCTGTAAGCATTTGCTTAGTGTGGCAGGTCTACGGTGCAGGAAGGGGGTTAATCTGAGGACTGATTTCAAATAACCTTTACTTGAGCAGGGCTATGTATCTCCTGCAAAGCTGCATTACGTTCTGTACTGTGTACAATAAAGGATCTTGCTTTCTGTTCCTCCTGTCTGCCCGGGCTGTGCTTGGCATGTGCCGTGAGCTGGTGGCAGGGCCACCACTGCTGGGGGGGACTGGGGCTACCCAGGGAGGGGCGAAAAGGATGGGTGGGCTTCTCCACCTGCTTTTGAGGCAGAACCACGTGTGGGGACTGTGTGTGATGCCCCTGGGACCACCTGGAGGTGAATAGGGGAGGAGGGGTGAAGCCTCTGTGCTTGGCTCTCCTGCCCCGCCTCCAGGGCTCACAGCACCTTCACAAAGCCATGTCAGCTAGGGGATCCACTTGAGCTGGGCCAGTTTTCTCCCCTGTGGGCACTGATTTAATACAAGCCTGCTCCCGAGCACTGCCATAGAGGAGGGAGGCAGGGCAGTGTCTGTCCCCTTTGCTCACCCCCGGAAACCTGAGACCCCACCAAGGGCACCAGGAGCCGGAGCACGGCTCTCTGTGCTTCACCTTGGGCTTTTAGCAGCTGGCAAGGCTAAATAAGCTGCTCCATGTAAATCAAACCTGGGTCCTCTCGTTTGTCACCTGAGGACTGGGATTTATGATTTGCGTGGGTGCTGCAGGGCACGATGCCTCCCCCACGTTATCCATGCATGAAGCCACGTCTCCCACCCCAGCAGTGCTGGCCGAGGTGGCCCTGAGCTCACCAAAGTTAGCCAGCAAAATCAATGCAACCTGCACAAAGGCTTCCACAGAGTTAAACGGGCTGCTCAGTCCCTGAAGGCACCTCCTCGTGCTGCCTGGAGAGCTCCATGGCACCAGCCTTGGGTGTTTCAGCATGCAAGCGCGCTGTGGATCCTCCAAGTGATGCTCAGCTGCAGCCATCCAGACATGGGGAGACAGCCCAGAGGGAAGGAGCATCGGTAGGGGCTTTAATCCAAGCTATTAAATCAGACCTAATGTCAAAGTGGGCTGCACGTGCTCTTTGCCAGGCTGTGGAAAGCCAGCCTCTTGATGAATAACTTCAGCTCCAGTCGTTGATGCCCAGTAATCGCATTTTAACAGGGATTGCAGCAGGCTGCGCTGGAGCTTGGGACAGAAAAGGGAAAACCAGGGCACGGGCAGCACTGCTGGCCGGGCAGCTGGGAAGCAGCTGGCCCCAGGAGGCAGGACCTCAACCCAGCAGCACAGTGAGCAAGTAAGCACCGCACGTGTCAGATTGACTACCAGGAAAGACTCATCGACTTCCCACTGCTTCAGCAGCACTGGACCAGCTGCAGGAAGGGGTGCACCCAGCACTGACAATGGGGAGAGCACCGGCTGCACCCCATGTCTCTGAAGTCCCGGGTGTAAGCACACAGAGAAGTGCAGATTCCCAGTTTTCCAAGCTGGCCGCCCCATCACATCTCCTGCCCACAGCATCCCCAGCGACGTTCACCCCCAAGACTTGCCCCAGTGCCTCACAGCACCACCTGCCTCCTCCCCATGGGTAAGAGCTTGTTTTCACCAGGTTAAATAGCTCAAAAGCTACTCAGATGTTAGACACGCTAATGATTTTTTTGGAAAAGGGGGGACCATATAGGGGAGAGCATCGCTACATACAGCCTATGCACATCCATTATTTACTGCGTGTGTTTTTGCTCTCCCCATCTCTGATGGATTATAGCTAGACTGTAATCTGTCCAAAAAGCAGTAGAGAAAGCCAAAGGTCTGCAATGTATTTTACAGAGGGGCATATAAATAGACTAGCATTTTTTTTATTATTATTATTATTTTTTGTGGCTCAGGAACTTCATATTTAATAGCCCACAATGGAGTTTTCCATCCCTTACTGGAAAAGCATTTTCAGGAAGCCTTTCTGTGCCCTGGGCAAGGCCTCAGGGGCAAGGTCCCCAGGGCAAGGTCTCCCCAAGGTGCTGTGCAGCCGGCAGCGGCTCTGCCCCAGCCTGGAGGTGCCCCGTGGCTTCAGCCAGCTCCAAGCCTGGCTTTGCAGCTCGGGCGTGCAGCTGCCTGCTGCTGGCCCTGCCCGGGGCCACATCCCAGGCAGCTCTTCTCTTCCCCAGCTCATCAAGCACTTGGTTTTAAAACGATCGGCTTCACTCGGCTTTTAAGCGCCTCCAGCAAAGTGATTGGCGGCATTTGAGAAGTCAACTTCAAGGTGAGGAGCTCCGGAAAAAACAAAACAAAACAAAACAAAACAAAACACAAAACACAGCAATAATGTGAGTGAGGCGACTTGGGGAGCACCAACCCCCAGGAGCATCCCCAGGTGTGAGGAGGGGCGCATCTCCATTTGCATCGGTCTGGCACCACCTCGTGGATACCCATCCTCGGCTCCTGGCCCCTGTGGCACTGCGTGGACACATAGCATGAAGTGACAGGGCACCCAGCAAGACCTTTGGTCCCCAAAATGCGGCTGCGTTTGTGCTCGGGTTCCCAGGCACACAGCAGCACCGTGCTGCAGAGCAGGAGCCGCAGCTGGGCTGCGTTCAGGAAGGAAAGCGCCTCCTCCCGGGCTCGCATTGGGAAGAAAGCGAGGGCTTCTTGTCCCCACAATGTGTCCTTTTCCTCTCTGCATTGGAAAAAATCAGGAAAAGTTGCGAAGACACTTTGAAAAGGAGAGGAAGGGGCACCCGCAGCCGCGGAAGGGGGCAGGGAGCCGGGGCCAGGCTGCCGGGACCCTTCCGAGCCCTCGGTGTTTCTTTGCAAGGCTGCACGAGGAGCGGCTCCCCGGGGCGAGCTGCACCCCTGCTAACAGGAATTTCTTTGGAAAAACTCAGCTTTTGGCTCGGCGGCAGCCCCGGAGCCAGGAGAGGGCAGCAGCAGCCCGGGCTGCCGCTCAGCAAGCCGTGCAGGCACTCGTCTTCAGCCCGTGAAGAGCTCCGAAAAGGCTGAGAAAGAAAAGCAGGGTGTGTAGGCAGCGAGCAGAGAGCAAAGCCACGCTGGGGCTAGCGGTACTCTCTAGGTGCTCAAAATGGCTTGGTTTTAAGGGGAAAGAAAATGACCTGCCTTTGAATGCAGTCTGGAAATGCGGAGGTTTCTGCAGCCTTTGCCAAAGATGCTGTGGGTTTTTTACCAGCCCTGCTGCAGGGCCCTGTGCTGGAGCTCTTGTGGCTTCGCCCAGAGCAGTGCAGCATCACGAGAGGTGCTTGAAACACTGCACGGTCAGGCTGGCTTCTTCTCGGCTTTCAGCCCCTGGGACAGACCGAGACGCTGGGGAAGTTTCTGCTTTGGCCCCCACTTCCCATCGGTCCCCCAAATGCAGGCTGCTACGTTTCCCTCCTGGCCCAGCCTGAAGTTTGCACCACGGTGAAAACCCTCCTGCAGATTTCCACCCCAGCACCACCTTTTTACATCAGGACTTCCCTTTTAGACTGGCCAGACTGGTAGCACCCTCCTGGTGCGGGGTGATATCACTGGGCGTGAAGGCTCCCTGTGCCCAGCCCCACCGGGGCGAGTCCCAGGGCTGGTGCGTGGCAGGAGGACATCCTTATGGCCCTGCTGAAATCCTCCCTGCTGCTCCCATGTGT